TGCTGCCAAGTCACCAAGTCGCGATCACGATCAGCAGCCCTGAAGTGGAAAAATCGATTTTCCAACGATCTGGTTGGACATCAGCCACTAAAGTACTTCTGATTTGCATGTAGTGACAACAGCAGCCATCCTTGGACACCTTGCAAAAACAGGAAAAGACACTGGTGGAAGCGACTGCTATGAGGTGACGATAGCAGTGGTGATCGCTGTTTTGTCCAGTCGAAGGGCTAGCCAACCCAGAGGAAGCATTGAAAAAAAACGATTAGCAGTGCGTGGTATTTGTTGAGCGTGAAGAGCTAGAGGAGGACAGTGCAAACACATGGACGGAGTGGATGGTGTTTGAAGAACAGTGTGCTGTGTGCCGGCTGGTGGTGATGGTGGTTTTTGTCAGCATGTATTCGTGCTGCTTCTTGTGCTGGAACACTTCTCGCCCCGGAATGCAGATTGCGTGCTCCCTGGCCCTCAGTCGGCAATGGGGCATGTGTTCCAGGAACATTACCCTGGAGCCAGTGATGAGTCGTACCTTTGAAAAGTCGAAGCTTGCTGTTAATCGCAAGCGTTGCGCAGTGGATTGCTCCCTCTTCGAAGCACGAGGGTCAAAGCTTGCCGCTGTCTGCAGCAAAGTGTGTGTGCGGTTCTTTCGAACCTACGAATATCCCCCCCTCCCCCCCCCTGACTCTCTCTCTTAGGAAGACTGCATGTTGAGAGTGAACTATTTTCTAGTATATTTAATGTGAGACGGGCTGTTTACGCCCAAGATGAACATACAGTTTTTTTTCTGTTTCTATACCTTCCTAATAAAATACATTGTGACAGAGCTTTCGGTCATACTCCGCTGTACTACATCCTCAACCCGCCACCACCATGCACTCTTGGCCGAACTAATGCACGAAGCATAAACACACCAGCACAGCAAGGACACTTCTGTTGACAGATATTGTTTACGCCTCTAGACAGCTGTTTTGTTTCTTCGAGCTCATCGTTAGAGGAGGATAGTAGCGGGATACTAATGATGATATAATATAAGATGATAGACGGTTTATGGTCGGATATTGATGATTGGAGATCTAAGAAAGCAATGACAGTGATTGCGAAATGGATAATATTATCATGATTATATGCCAGTCTGGTTATGCGTTGTACTGCTGAACAGTATTGAAATGATCACTGCATTCGATGCAAATATTGAAAGAGTAAGAGAACCTGGTTGATTTGGTTGCATCTGCGACTGGCTACCGGGTGTTGTGATCAGCAATGTTACCATGAGAGAAAATAACAGCGCAAGGATCTGTTGGGTCTTGTTGTGCCGTGCCGGTGCGAGAACCCTAAGTGCATGGCAAAATAGAACTGTTTCATCCACAATGCAGAATGTGTTGCGGTACATGGCATTGATGACCGAACATCTCGCCAGCTCGCCCAAACGGAGGAACAAGACATCTTTACAGCTCAGCTAGTTATATACCGTGAAACGGATGATTAACTTGTGCCACGCATGCCAGCTTCTGTTCCATTCGGCCCAGGCTTAGACACGTCAATGTCAATAGCAGCTGAGCCTCCATTACATGCTCATTGGCGATTTACGGCCGCCTCCAACTGTATCCGCCGTCCCTCAGCTTCCGTCTTCGCAGATCTGGCGTGGCGCAGTGCATTTTCTCGGCTAGGTTCAAAGAAGTCTCACAGAACAGTCCAAACACCTGAAGGGAAACCAGTCAGAAACTGGAGCGGCTCAGAGTCTTTCTTTATGTTATTGTACGTAAGCTGTTTTTCGGCTTTCTTCACCCCAGTCCTCACATCGTCCAACTGCTCCACGAGACTCTGTACACGAGCTCTACTTGCTGCCAGCTCCTGATGCAGATGCTGCACTTCCATTACAGGACCAAACTGCACTAAGCCAGGTTCCTTTCCAACTCAAAGTACCGTTGCCTCCTAGCAAAATACTGGTTTGGGAGCATGGGGAGATCGTGATGCAGACGCTGCACTTCCATGACCGAACTGCACTAGGCTCAGCAAATACTGTTTTGCGAGCATGGGGAGCAGGGCGTCCAGACTCCACTCTCTTGCGAAAAGCAAACCTGGTATCGTAGGACAGCTGTTTGGGTTCCTGGACTTATCCTGCCCTTGTAGAGCTGGGCAAAACGATTTCGATTTCGGGATCGAAATGATCGCTGCAGCTCAAATAATATTTCAGAGTGACCCTAAAACTACGTCCTTCCTCACGGGGCATAGCCTGGATCCGCTTGCTCCAGGCCGCTGTGGCTCCACACGAGGAAAGGAGTGAAATGACTTGTTTGCTTCGTCCTCCTGTTCTGACAGTGAGGAACGCAGCAATGATCCTGAGAAGGCATCCTGAAGTCGTAAAAAGGAAGACGTCTAAACAAAAACAAAACAGCTCAAATCAAAAGTCCTTGTGACATTTTTTGTAGACAGGCTTGCACTGCATGTAGATTTCGCGTGCTCTGCACTTCGCATGCGAGAAGTCACGCACAGCCGAGGTGAGGTTGGTCGCGTGTGTGCAGCAGGATCCCACGCGACTGCGGAGTTGCCCCCTTGCTCGAACCCAGACAATAATAAGGGGATCGGTCTATTGCGTACGCGTGCGACAGCCCGCGAAAGTGCACACTTAAATCTTTGCAACGACCTGATACTTGAAAAAGTGACTGAAAAGTTACTGCGTATAAACCGTTATCTTTATCGGTTAACCGTTAATTCTTCGTAACCGGTCTGCAACCGGTTGATCGGACTAATCGTTTGAGCCCTAGTTATGGGCCGTTACACGCCCGATTGGTTGAGAGACTAGACTCACCTACTCTCCCCTGACTCACTTGTGAGGTCTGCATTCGCCACTCAGGTGTGCAAGGCATAGGCATAGTGGTGGCCTGCGGAAGCGAAGGCTAGTTTGTGTGTTTCTGAACATTCAAGCGATGCCAACGCGAATCCCGCGAATTATTATTATTATAGACTAGCCCTCTCAGTGCCACGGGCGACTTTAGTCGCCCAGACTGAGTATGTGAGTACAAATAAATTCGTATCTCCACTTCTACACACAGGAGAGTTACAAACGACCACTCTACGTCTTCAGGAAGACCTTGGCTATCGACTCATCACAAAGACTTTTACGTTTTGTGTCCGTGAGGATAGATATCGCCAGGGCGAAGCCTGAAGCGCGCGCTCGGACAAACAATTGTCGCGTGTAGAAAACATGACGTATGCGCATCGCGGGTTTCTCTATTTCTTTCGCGGCAACCTATGCGTATTGGGTATCAAAACATCGAGATTTTCAGTGGCTTTCAGGCCAACTTTGTCCGAATTTCGTGCGTTGAAATTTGACTGCACTGCGATCGATCACGCGCGTGAGAAAGTGCAGATGCTACGAAAATGCAGAAAACGGACTTCGCTCAGGCGCCCTCGCGAGGAAGACTATTTTCGCTGCATTTTCTCTTCACAGCTGTCTGCCTGGCCATGATATCTTTCCAGAGAGCCATCGTTTGTAAAGATCCGTGGATATACAGCTGAGCTATGAAAAATTTGAGTTCAGCTCAACTCGGAAAAATTTGAATTCAGTTTCTGACCCCCTTGGCACTGAAAGGGCTAGTTGGTGTGAACAGTTGCTTTTCGGAGCTCATGTAGAAAGTAGTTCAAGGTTATTGTTTCTTCGAATCGCTTTCCGTTGTGCACGAATGTGAAATGTGTCACTGTGTGAGTGTGCGTTCCCTTTAGACTTTAGTGAGCTTTTCTTAGCAACAGAATTATTGTATGATAGATAATTATAATAACATGTGTAACTGGTTACGTTAGCAAAGTTACCGGTAGTTGTCGAGGATAAGTAGAGCACCTCACATACCAATTCAACTAAATACGTGTGAAGTGCATGGTTTTGTATTTTAGTTGGTGTGTGCATGGTAGTTTTTTGGAGCAGACAGACGTTTGCTCCCCGAGCTTGTGCATGTAAAATACTGTCCCCGGGGAAAATTGCGATTCCGCGGCCGCGTTTTTTGCGATTTTTTAAAAGACCGCGTTTTCCGCGATTTTCCCGCGTTTTTTGAACTTTTTTTGTTGCACTACACGTACGTACACACAGTGCACTGTTCGGTCAGCAACGTCTCATCGTGGCGGCTTTTTACTGAAATATGACGAGTGATTACACCAGAGACTTGTAACTGATTGATTTCACTACATACTCACTGAAAATTGCCGCATTCACCGCATATTTACCGCAAATTATGCCATATTATGCCGCGTTTTTTGCGATTTTTTGCGATTTTTTTCCGCAATTTTCCCCGGGGACAGAAAATAATCATTAGTCGCAAAATGGCCGCTTTATACATTTTCGCATCGAAAGAAATAAACTAAGTTACTTTCCCTTTGGCCCCAACTTCGCTGCGGTTTTATAGTGTTATACTTCGACCATGACGGCTACAATGCCCAACCATACCTCAACGAACTGATCGGCTACATCATTGTATTGCAAAGAGTTTCCATCTGTTCGAATAACATGGATGATGAGCTAGGCAAAAAAGCATAGCGTAGGGCCCTGAGCAAAAGAAATAAACTTTCTCTTTGCATTCGAGGGTAATACGACACAGTCTACCATCTTGATGACCTAGGCAAAAAAAGCATAGGGATGTTATAAATTTTTCTATTCTCCATTTTTTTTTCAGACATAACCTAGGAGTAGGATTCGAACCCACACTATTGCCCTGCATGCCTCCCCCCGATACACTTCGCATATATGTACATACTCACTCTTCCGAGATGCTTCACGTTATGATCTTGCATTTGAAAGCCCTATTCGAATATGGTGGCCAGCTGTCTTTGATGGTACGGTACGGGACAGGTACTGGATAGCGCCAGACGTTACTGTAACGCCTTTTGCATAGCTACGGGAATAAAGCATACGATGGAGGAGTCCGTTGACATTCACCACCACCATTGGGCTCCGTGGCCGACCACACATGTACATACACTCACTTGCCCACAACAGCAACAAGAGGTTCCTTCGAGTAGCGCCGTTTTAATCCTTCTGACAGCTGTTTCGGTCACTAAGACCTCAGAGAAGGTTGAGTTGTTGAAAGACTGGAAAATAAATAATCACCTATTTTATAGTGAAATAAGAGGTGGCGCACAAATGACTGCGCGCTTGATACTCAAAGTGTGAAATAAGAGGTGTGAAAAGGTATTGAAATCAAAGGAACCTCTGCAAAGAGGTTCAAGTTACTGCCGGATACTGCAATGCAGCACGGATACAGCAGTCATGCAAGTAGCCCAACTGGCATCTTACCCATGCACTCCCTCTCCACACTGCACCGTCGGTTCACTCTTTGCGCACGTGTCCGGTTTAGCTCGCGTACATGCAGTCGTGAAAGGCTTGTTGGCAGTGCAAGTGTTGAAAAAACACATGTTGAAAAACAGCTGTGTATGTGTACCTACGTGATGTTCAGACCAGCTCCAATTTCACATGTACCCCGGGATCTGGCTTGACGATCATTGCCATTACCCAGGCAGGCTGCTTGGCGTGAGGGTCTGGCGTTAAGCGGAACTTGGACAGTATCATGGCCATCACCACCTTCATCTCATCCATGGCAAAGTGCTTGCCGACGCATGCCCGTGGACCGCAGCTGAAAGGGATGAAGGCATAGGAACTCCGTGTGCTGCTTTGATCTGGTGAGAATCGATCAGGATTGAATGTGTCCGCGTCAGTCCAGACTTGTTTGTTCATGTGGACTCCCATCATGTTGAGTTGAAAGCCAGTACCGGGAGGCAGCCTAACACCATCCACTTGAAAGGCATCCTTGCTCGTCTTCCCTATAAATGCGATAACATTGCTCAAGCGCAGCACCTCCTGAATCGTTTGTGTCAAGTACTCCAGGTCAGCCAGGTGCCCATGAGCAAAGTTGTCCAAACCACCACATCTCTCCAAGACGGCTAGTACTTCTTTACGGCAGTGTTCTTGGACATCACGGTTTAGACTGAGATAGTGTATGATCCACTGGAAGGCCGAGGCCGTAGTGTCGTGGCCCGCAAAGAGGAACGTTTCGACGTGCTCACAGATCTCCGTGTCGCTATATCCCACACCGTCTTCATCTCTTGCCATCAGTAGAATGTCGAGCATATCTCGGTGCCTGGGATTTCCCGCATCATTCTCACCTTCGGCCTTTTGAAGACATGCCCGTTGGTCTCGGATAAGTTGTTCACTGAACTTGTGTGTTTCTGCATGCAACTTCCGGAAGCGACGACCAGTTGGCGAATGAAGGAATATGAAATCCGAGTAGAACCATGGCTGCTTGAAACGCGCAAAGATAATCTCAACGATGTCTCTCAATGCAGCAGCAAAGCGCAGGGCAGGGGCGCTTGGATCGCTTTCCGTTTGGCAGTTGGTCTCCGTACCCATAGCACACCGCAGGATGATGTCAAATGTCAGCATTGGAAAATACTGCGACACATCCACACTCTTGTGGAGCTGCTCCTCCCAGAGATCAAGCATGATGAATGCTGCTTCCTTGTAGAAATCCACATACTCGCGGCGCATATCCGGCGAAAACACGTTAGAGATCAACTTGTGATCACGGGCCCACCGCTTACCCTCCGTGAACAGGAGTCCATTTCCAAGCCACGTGCGGAAAACTCTTCCAGATAATGGAAGTTTTACTGACTTCGTTCCCATGACATCTGCAATGGTGTCCGGATGGCACACTGAGACCCCGGTCGTAAAAGGTCCCAAATGCCATAAGAACTTACGCGGCAGTTTTCGAGCATATCCCAGATAGGTGTCCCATGCGAGACGGTCGTCCGCCACCACGTGTCCCCGAAGCCAGTGGGCCTTGCAAGGCTCCGGTATTCGCTGCCTTAGAAAGCGCCGATGAAGCCACCATGTAACCACGATGTGCAGAAACTTCGCCAGAAACAATGAAAGTCCAGCGATAGCGATGACGCTGGGTAAGTGTACGTCCATCGTGCTGGAGACCATTCAAAGCCTCTTCATGCCGCTGCCGAATGACTGCAACCAGTCTACTGAGCACCTGTATTCTTGGAGAGTGAGACTACCTGACCTACACAGATCAATGCATTCCTTACAATAGTTTGTAAATTGTTTGCGATGGTATAAATGTCAAAATGACTGCATGTTTGTAGGATTTCAACGTGCCGCTCCCCACATTTATAGCACATTGATTTACAAGGAGAAAAGACGGGCCATAGCCTAGCCTAGCCATCTGTGCACTGCTAATCCAAACTGCCCTTTGCCTTGCAGCTTGGCCTTCCCAGATTTGTACAGTCAGTGCAGTTTTGGTTTTCACACGCCTGATACCTAGTATTACTCAGTACCTGGTCGGTCGGTCGGTCACCATGGTCACGCGTGACTTGCACATGCACACGAAAACACTGCACTGATATCATGTACCGGATGTACTGCGGGGCTAGGCTAGGCTAGGCTGCGATGTGTAAAACTCACACTTTTAGAAAGTCTTTTGACTTTTTGTACTGTCAATGGCATGTTTTCGAGTGACTGATCACTCTGATGACTTGCTAGCTGGTCACGCGTGACTTGCAAGTACCACATGTCCTTGAATATGCTGTTCCCGTTTGGATGTTTTCCGTTTCAGCCACCATGTCCACAACCCTTGATAAACTGCAGGCTACTGCTGCTAGAGCATACTTAAATAGTAAACTCAAGCGTCGGCCTGACTGGACGACTTCCAAAGAAGACCTCAATGTTCTGTCCTCTTGGGAATCGTTAGCATGGCGACGGCAGATTCTTGGCCTTGTCTATTTCCACCATGTATTCTACCAATACCCCTCCTTGTTGTCTCACTTCCAGCTACCCTCTTCCCAAAGCAGTCGTCACCCTTCATCCATAATTCTTCCTAAAGCTGGCACCTTCTTTCGTAAATCAACCCTTTTTTCTTTGAGTGTTGCCTGGAATAAACTTCCTGAAGATATTCGTTCACTCTCTACAACAGCGAAATTTAGTATTGCTGTTCGTCGGTATCATTCGCAATCTATGTTTTCTTTGAAAGGTATTCCTGACTTTTGTGTCTAGGCTAACCATATCTATGATAGTTTCAATAGTTTGTGTATATGTCAGTTATAGTAGTCCGCAATGCTGCTTTTCTAATTCTCATTATGATTAGGATGCAATGTACTACCCGAAGTACTGAATTTACTTCTTCTGTACTCTATATTCTAATGTATCTTCTACCTCTTCTCCCTTACGAACATACTTTCTCATTTTCCATACTTATATAGGAGACTCCCTTCGATAGGCATCTATTTGCCTCTGGAGGATCCGTGAAATAAAAATCAAAAAAAAAAAAAAAAAAAAACATGTAGCCTGTGTACATGTGTTGGTCTACATGACTTGTAAGTAACAACTACAAGTAAGTTAGTTGTACTGACTGTCTCTCGACACTGTATGTCCCATTACATTTTCACAAGCTAAAGATGGCACATACATAATTGTGCTGTGTCTGTGAAGGGGGATTGTATGACTTTTGACTTTTTTGTACTGTCACTCAGTGTCAGTGCATGTTTTCGCGTATCTAGCTAGCTGGTGAGTGCAGTGGTCACGCGTGACTTGCAAGTACTAGTACAATTATGTCATGTACAAAGTCATGATTGTACTGTCGGTCATCTGATTACTGTATGATTGTACCATTTCACAAGCAATCAAGGGCCATGGGTCATGGCACATACATTATTACTATTATAAAGTCATAATCATTGACATTGTGCTGTGAAGGGGGGGGGGGATTGTATGAGGAGCGGCGAGTGGAGATACATGTGCCATGTACAATGACAATGACATGTACATGACTTTTGTACCAGTGTTATACCAGCCCCAAAGCCAAAGTGACTTGCCTTTGACCAAGGCAGCACTTCAAATCGCCTTTACATGTACATGTACATGTACATGTACATTGACATAATTATGCAAGTCCGGCCCTCAACCTCCTCGTTGCCTTTTGGGCGGAGGGGGGGGGGGTAATATCGGAGGGATAGCCACAGCCATGGCTAAGTCACAGTAAATGGTGTGGTTGGTGGGACTGTTACCTGCACATCTCCGCTCTCCACTCCTCATCCGTCCACGGCATTCCCCGAACAATGGGTCATTGCTTGTGAGATGGGACATTGCATATCGGAGCTTCAAAAAGTTTGAGCGGGTGCTTTAGCACGTGCACCAAAGCACCCTTCCCCCCCCCCCCCCACCTACGCCCCTAATGCATACATGTACATGTACAGTAGGTCACTCAATTGCCCACAACAGCAACAAGAGGTTCCTTCGAGTATTTTCGTTCTATTCCTTCTGACAGCTGTTTCGATCACTAAGACCTCATCAGAGAAGGTTGAGTTGTTGAATGACTGGAAAAGAATTAATCACCTACATGTATTTTATACTGGCTCTTGAAATAAGAGATGGAGAAAAAATGAACGCTCACTAGAGATTCGAATTGTGAAAACAAGGTGTAAAATGGCATTGAAAACAATGAAATCAAAGGAACGTCTGCAAAGAGGTTTTAAAAGTTACTGCCAGACACTGCAAAGCAGGGCGGATACAGCAGCCATTCAAGTAACCCACCCGGCCTCTAACCCATGCACTCCATCCACGTCTACATGTACATGTAGCTCTCCACATTGCACCGTCGGCTCACTCTTTGCGCACGTGTCCGGTTTAGCTCAAGCACATGAAGTCATGGAAGACTTGTTGGCAGTGCAAGTGTTGAAAAACGCATGTTGAAAAACAGCTGTGTGTGTGTGTGTGTGTGTGTGTGTGTGTGTGTGTGTGTGTGTGTGTGTGTGTGTGTGTGTGTGTGTGTGTGTGTATGAGTGTGCGCGCACCTACTTGATGTTCATACCAGCTCCAATTTTACATGCACACCGGGATCTGGCTTGACGATCAATGCCATTACCCAGGCAGGCTGTTTGGCGTGAGGGTCTGGCGTAAAGCGGAACTTGGACAGTATCATGGCCATCACCACCTTCATCTCGTCCATGGCAAAGTGTTTACCAATACACGCACGTGGACCGCAGCTGAACGGAATGAAGGCATAGGAACTCCGTGTGCTGCCTTGATCTGGTGAGAATCGATCAGGATTGAACGTGTCCGGGTCAGTCCAGACTTGTTTGCTCATGTGGACTCCCATCATGTTGAGTTGAAAGCCTGTACCTGTAGGTAGCCTAACACCATCCACTTGAAAGGCATGCTTGCTTGTCTTCGCTACAAATGCGACAACATTGCTCAAGCGCAACACCTCGTGAATTGTTTGTGTCAAGTACTCCAGGTCAGCCAGGTGCTCATGAGCAAAGTTGTCCAAACCACCACATCTCTCCAAGACCGCTAGTACTTCTTTACGGCAGCGTTCTTGGACATCATGGTTTAGACTGAGATAGTGTATGATCCACTGGAAGGCCGAGGCTGTAGTGTCGTGGCCCGCAAAGAGGAACGTTTCGACATGCTCACAGATCTCCGTGTCGCTATATCCCACACCGTCTTCATCTCTTGCCATCAGTAAAATGTCGAGCATGTCTCGATGACGTTGGTTTCCAGCATCAATTCCACCTTCGGCCTTTTGGAGACATGCCCGTCGGTCTCGGATAAGTTGTTCACTGAACTTGTGTGTTTCCGCTAGCAACTTCTGGAAGCGACGACCAGTGGGCGAATGAAGGAATATGAAATCCGAGTAGAACCACGGTTTCTTGAAACGCGAGAAGATAATCTCAATGATGCCTCTCAATGCAGCAGCATAGCGCAAGGCAGGGGCGCTTGGATCGCTTTCCGTTTGGCAGTTGGTCTCTGTACCCATAGCGCACCGCAGGATGATGTCAAACGTCAGCATTGGAAAATACTGCGATACATCCACACTCTTGTTGAGCTGCTCCTCCCAGAGATCAAGCATGATGAATGCTGCTTCCTTGTAGAAATTCACATACTCGCGGCGCATGTCCGGCGAAAACACGTTAGAAATTAACTTGTGATCACGGGCCCACCGCTTACCCTCCGTGAACAGGAGTCCATTTCCAAGCCAAGCGCGGAAAACTCTTCCAGATAATGGATGTTTTACTGACTTCGTTCTCATAACATCTGCAATAGTGTCCGGATGGCTCACTGAGACTGAGGTCGTAAAAGGTCCCAATTGCCGTAAGAACATACGCGGCAGTTTACGAGCATACCCGATGTAGGTGTCCCATGCGAGACGGTTGTCGGCCACCAGGTGTCCCCGAAGCCAGTGGGGCTTGCACGGCTCCGGTATTCGCTGCCTCAGAAAGCGCCGATGAAGCCACCATGTGGCCACGATATGCAGAAACTTCGCCAGAAACAATGAAAGTCCAGCGATAGCGATGAGGCTGGGTAAGTTTACGTCCATCGTGCTGGAGACCATTCAAAGCATTTTCATGCCGCTGTAAAGTGACTCCTACCAGTTTACTGAGTATTCTCGGAGAGTGAGACTAGATCTACATAGATCAATGGATTCCTTACAATAGTTTGTAAATTCTGTTTGCGATGGCAATGACTGCAATCATGTTTGAAGGATGATTTCAGCGTGCCGCTCGCCACATACAGGACGCATTAGCAGATTCACAGGCAGAGAAGTCTTCGATACATGCACACTGCGTACACCTCAAAGACTAACGCCGTAACGGCCCCCTTGGCCTTGGTCTTTCCTTGGCCTTCCCAGCTAGCTAGGCAGCTAACTCAATAATAACTGCATGATTGCTGAGTCATATCTAAGACACGTGGGTTCTACAATACAACCAACATGTCATGATATTGATCATTGAATTTGTACAGGAACTGTTGTCAGTGACAGTGTTGAAGAAACAGTCAAAGACATGTCGCATGTATCGTATTTCTCAGATGTAATTCTGCAAGCTAATAGTATTATTATATTATATTATTAAAAGCATGTCCGCGTAGGTGGCGGGGGTGCCACTTTCGCTTATGCCATTCAGGATTGATGTCTGAAGAGTAATACGATACAATGAAATGACAGAAGTGACGTCAACAAAAGCCGTTAGCAACAACACCAATATGACTAATGGAAAATTTCATCCAGAGTAAAAAAAAAATAGAATATGCATACAACATGTCTGGTCAGTCCTGTTAGGTGGGGCGGGCTCCACGCCATGCCTGTCGGTCCGCTGCCATTGTGCGGACTGCGTCAACATCTAGCGGCTGGTGGAGGGTAAGTCCATGCCATGATAACAGTTCCGTCTGCAAGACCGTTACCAAAGTCGTCCGAGGTCGACCCCTGAAGCGTTCAGTGCCCTCGTCGTTGGCCAGGCGAAGATACATATCCACTGCCAACTGTGGAGGAGCAGTTGCTAATAGTAATACATGTAATTATGAGTTGTGGGTGACGGCAAGTGGTAGCGCGATTCCCGCCCTAGCTTAAATAGACCATGATATCGGCTGGTGGTACTGAGTGGACCCACTGCCACTGGAACACTGCCAGTCCTCGCCGTTTCGAGACAGTTGCTTGAAGGTGATTCTTGATTATGTCCAATTATTTGAAGTTTCTTCCAGTCGCCGGGTTGGCCGGCTTGTCATTCTTACTGGCGAGGCTGCTCCACATTGTGGTGAGATGGTGGCTCCGTCGCCGATATCTGAAACAACGAGTACCCGAACCATGCAAGCCACACTGGATTCGTGGACACTTGGCAGCCGACGATCGCTTGGCGAGGAATGAATACATTGGCTATGCTCGGAAGCTGCCACGTATGCTATTACAACAGATGGGTCCATTCATTTCTTCCGTTGCATTGAGCCATCCCGACACTATTGCGCAGGTCATGAAGGTAAACCCGCCGAAGAATGAGCTCGTTGCGAAACTTGCCAAGACGTGGCTGGGCAATGGTCTTGTGTTCACTAAAGGCGAACGTTGGGAACGTGATCACCGTTTGCTCTCAAAGGCATTCTCAATAGAAATGCGGCGGGAATATATGCGTGCATTCAAGGAGGCCACCAGCATCACTCTGGACATATGGGAGGAGCTGCAGGCGGGCGCGAGTGTGAACATGGCAGAATTCTTACCCATGCTGACTTTCGATATCATACTGAGGTGTGCAATGGGAGCAGAAACTACATGCCAGACAAACAGTGACCCAAGAACGCCGGCCAGGCGATATGGTGCGGCTTCAAAGGAAATTGGAGATATTATTTTCCAACGTCTCAAGCAACCCTGGCTGTACTTCGATTTCATTTTCCTCAATTCAGCAACTGGTGCCCGCTTCAAGAACCTTCTAGCAGAAACGCACGAATTCAGTGACCGGCTGATTAGTGAACAGCGGGCACTACTGGAGCAGGGCAAAGATAACGAAGGCAAGACGAGTCAGCTTGATCAGAAGCGTCACCGAGACATGCTCGACGTGCTGTTGACGGTGAGAGATGAAGACGGCGTGGGATACAGTGACTCGGATATCCGTGAGCACGTGGAGACGTTTCTGTTTGCAGGCCACGACACTACGTCTTCCGTTTTGGAGTGGGCCATACACTACCTCTGCCATAACAAGCCTGTACAAGAGCGCTGCAGACGGGAGGTGATGGATGTTCTGGAAAAGTGCAGTGGCCTGGACAACTTTGCCCATGAACATCTAGCGGAACTGCAGTATCTTTCACAAACCATCCAGGAAACGCTGCGTATTGCATCCGTCGGACCAGTAGCTATGAAAACCAGTGATCGAGTGTGCAAAATTGATGGTGTCCAATTCCCTGCTGGTACTGATTTTCAGATCAACATCATCGGCGTTCATCACAACGAGCAAGTCTGGACTGACCCGGACACATTCAAACCCGATCGATTCTCACCAGACCAAGGCACACGGAGTTCCTATGCTTTCATCCCGTTCAGCTGTGGTCCACGTACATGCATCGGCAAGCACTTCGCCATGGATGAGATGAAGGTGGTACTGAGCATGATCCTGTCCCGATTTCGTCTACTGCCTGATCCAGATAGCCCTGAGACAAAATCGACTATGGGCATATTCGTTAAACCAGATCCTCCGGTACACGTACTGCTCGATGCCTTATGAACCTAAAAATGTAACTTCATCATTTTGACAAGAACTCTACCTTAATGGTGGGTGTTCACGGGGTCCAGGTTTCTCAGGATGAGAACTGTCAGAAACAAATCATAAGCTCACCTGTACATTAAAACATGTTACTGGTATATATGTATACATGGGTATTGCTTGTATGCAGTTGAATATACTCTTTTTCTTTACATACCGGATCAAGGCGCAGCTTTAGGAGCTGCATCTGTGCCTTGATCCCTAGAGGATGGTGGCGTTCGTACGGATGCGGAAAACTCTGCCTCCAGTCGAGTCCCACGAGAAACATGATACATGTACATGTATACCGGTATACCGGTATATTACATACTGGTACTGAACAGCTGCTTACAGTATTCTAATGCTGTTGTGAACGTTTGCAGTCCGGTTTGTTTTTTTCCAGCTACACTGTATACAACTTGAGTAGTTCACTCCTTGTACTCCATTTTGGACTCCGCAGGGCATCGATCTAGGTTCTTTTTCATTTTGTTGCGTAGAGAAGTGGGTCATTTTGAAACATTGGCTTCCTAAGCTCAGAAGTAATGACAAACTCGGCCACCAAGGACGAGCTGCCTCGCTATGGAGTGGTGTTGTGAATGTGGGCAAAGAGCGCAGTGTGGAGAGGTGGTCTGGTGGTGGTGCTTCCTAAGCTGCCCTGCAAAGCTTGTGATGCAGTTACTGTGTGAATGATCACAAGTAGTAATATCGATTACATCAAAGCAGTCAGAGATTTTAAGTCTGTAAACTGCATTGCTAGATTGTTGTTGTTATTTTTGTTGATGATGTTTTATTTCACTTGAGGACCCAACCGACTATAGTCTAGTCGTCTTACAGGGTGCCCAAGGAGTCCAGTGCATAATTACGGTGATAAAAGTCATTCATAGCTGTACACAAGCGAGCAGAGAATGGCAGTTACATTATCACCATGGCGGGTTCACGCCCCTACATGGCTACTTCCCCTCGTCTAACCCCCAAGACGAAATGATAGCAGCCGACTGGCCGAAATTTAAAAACATGTTGCATGTATTATACGCAGCAAACAAGCCTTGATTGTCCTTGTTGTTCTGTTCTGTATATATAATATCACCATGGTATGATGCTCTGGTAGAACAGCTACTGCTGCTTGTTTACTTCTAAACCAGCCTATACCATACATGTACGCTTCAACATGGATACGTTCTTGTTTTCTGCTACCGGAACTAGGGACCGGCGGATTCTGCTCGAAAAGGTGGCAGATTCTGCTCGAAAAGGTGGCAGATTCTGCTCGAAAATCAGTGAAACGGGCAGAACCATACAAACCTTATGGCGGGCAATTCCTCGAATGCTGCTCCATTTTTTTTATCCACATACCAAACACGCATGAAACTTACCAGAAAAAGTACCGAATTCTGCCAATTTTTCTGCCGCCAGAATCCGCCGGACCCTAACCGGAACTGTTTTTTACAGTAGCCATTACTTTATTTTTGCAATTTTGTTCTCTTTTGTTTGGTTCCTAGTCATTATGTTCACCTTCGCTCCAACACACACAAGCGAACCCATCAGTCATCTCTCTATAAGTACGGCTGGCTGGAACGCGGACACTATGAATACGAATAATTGCGGACTTTTGACTTCGAACATACATGTACAACATACATGTACATCGACTTACCTGTACTGTATATTTTTTCAAAACACGCTTTCAATATACCAGCAGACATGACTATGATGTTTACGAAGCGCATTCAGACAATCTACTATACCAGTACATGTACATAAAAAATTTTCATACAAAATAATATTCGATGAAATGGATCTGCTCACGTGATGCCCAGAACCCGCCATGAGATGCGATGATTCTTATCTGACATGAAGAAAGCGGCTGTATGGCCAAGGAGGTGCGGCGTGTGCACTGTCCACTACTGGCAGCGATGCGGCTCCCAATTGTTCATTGAGTTCATAGACCACGATTTCGTCGCTCGTGGCTCGTTCCAGAGCATTGTCCACCATGGTTATAGACGTCGGCCTTGTGAAGCTCCTCGCAGTCCTTTTCCTGACGCTGCTTCTGGCAAAAGCAATTGCAGTGATCGCCAGATGGTGGTTGCACCGACGATATTTGAGGACACGAGTAGGCGTGCCATGCAAACCACATTGGGTCCTTGGCCACCTGGTTGAGGATGACCGTCTAGCCAGAGACATTCTTATAAGGTATGCTCGTAAACTGCCGAGACTACAATTGCAACTGTTGGGACCGTTCCTCTCGGCGGTCACAGTGAGCCATCCAGATACCATAGCGGAAACCATGCGAACCAATCCATCGCAAAATGAGCTCATCGGCAAATTGGCTCGAGTGTGGATCGGCAATGGACTGATCTTTAGCCAGGGCGAGCGCTGGGCCCGAGACCACCGCTTGCTCTCCAAGGTTTTCACGCTGGAGATGCGACGAGAATACGTTGGTGCGTTCAAGGATGCAACGGACATAATGCTGGATGAGTGGAACGACCAAGTTGGACGCAGTGTAGACATGGCCAACTACCTACCCATGCTTGCGTTTGATATCATATTGAGGACCGCGATGGGAGCAGAAACGACGTGTCAAACTGACACTGATCCAAATACGCCAGCCAGGCGATATGAGGCTGCCGTCAAGGACATATCTGAGATCATCTTCAATCGCTACAAGCAGCCCTGGTTCTACTCAGATTTCATATTTCTTAACTCTCCTACCGGTTCCCGTTTCAAGAAGTTGCTTGCCGAAACACATGCGTTTAGTGGAGGGCTGATCACTGAGCGACGGCGTGTTCTGCGGGAGGCTGCAGACAGTAGAGACCCGCTGGGTGTCCCGCGCCGCCGAGACATGCTGGATGTGTTGCTGACCGTGCGAGATGAGGACGGGGTTGGCTACAGTGACTCGGATATCCGCGAGCACGTGGAAACCTTTCTGCATGCCGGCCACGACACTACCTCGGCTGCTTTGGAATGGGCCATCCTCTATCTGAGTCGTAATCCAGGTGTTCAGGAGCGCTGTCGACAAGAGGTACTCGCCGTGCTGGAGGAGCATGGCGGTCTTAAACACTTTGCTCACAATCATCTTGCAGAGCTGCCGTACCTGACGCAGACCATCCAGGAAACTCTCCGCATCGCCTCCGTAGCCCCATTCGTCGTCAAGACATGCCAGAAAGATTGCCAGGTGGAAGGCGTCCAATTCCCTGCAGGCACTGATTTTCAGATCAACATCATCGGCGTTCATCACAACGAGCAAGTCTGGGATGACCCGGACACGTTCAATCCTGATCGATTCTCACCAGACCAAGGCACACGGAGTTCCTATGCCTTCATCCCGTTCAGCTGTGGTCCACGTGCCTGCATCGGCAAGCACTTTGCCATGGACGAGATGAAGGTGGTACTGAGCATGATTCTGTCCCGGTTCCGTCTACTGCCGGATCCAGATGCCGCTGAGACTAAATCGAAAATGGGCATCTTCGTGAAGCCAGATCCACCGGTGCACGTGCTATTGGAGTTCGTATGAATGCTGCAATACCTACATGTATTTATGCCTCTGAATTGTCTTAGGCGTATAGAGCACGATAAACACTAGATTTCACCATTGTTATGGAGTATAGCGGGCAGGTGAATCGCCAGTACTAGGCTCTCCCCAAATCGACCGGCGTAAAAAGTCGCCGAAAACGAGACTTATTGCCGATCTTGGAGGCTTCCTTTGAGGATCTCCGAGAATCCACCAAATGTTGTTGCAAAGCGTGTTTACGAACGAATGCTGCAAGCTAGCATGACCGCTCGAGCTCTCTACTTCAGTGCTTGTACTAAGTTGTAGTACTAGTGCGTTGAGGTCGTGTGACTCGTGTCCTTTGACCTCCTCTCAAACAATCATTAGCCATTGGGAAGACCGTAAGTAGTAAAATACTACACTACGATATATACTCCATCTATCAGCGCTGTATTTCCAATATCTCACCAATTTTGAAGCCAATATGCCAACAAATCTTTTAGCCGAATTTCCAATATATTCCAATTTTACAGCCGATTTTCGAACAATCAGCTGGTTTTGTTGCCGAATCTGATTTATTTTTGGGTGAGCGAAAAGCCGAAAAGCCGAATAGGCGAAGAAGATTTGGGGAAAGCCTAACTGATTCGAACCAGAATCGCCATCCTGTATTCAACCCTACTCCAAGTCAAGGTCCATTCAGTGCAAGTACTGTACCCCTCTAACAAGTTTTGACATTGAGCCAGCGAAAAGTGTCGTTATTCACGAGGTGGTGCTATTCGATATTCGTGAATAACATATCATTATCAATAATGTGGAGTACATGTTACGCGCTGTGGACTGCATGCCGTATAGGCCTTTCCCAAAGATGCCATAATTTTTCGCAACTTATGCTTTTTCGCAACCGTGTAAAAACAAGAGCTAACGTTAGTTGCTGAAATCGCATCCATATCTTCAGAAAACGCCTAAAAGTTGCTAATATCGCAACTGAAAATTGGAGAGTTCTTGTGCACAACCACCAAAAAAGGAGCAGAAATAGCAGAAGCGCAGCAACAGCAACTCGTACACCCTTTCCTGCTGTGAACCACCACTTTAAACAGTGTCAGTAGCCTGTTGCATGTACCCTACTTCATTCCAGTGCAAGGAAAAGGGAATGCACATTATCGTTACTGCCGTTGATCTATCGTTTCTATGAAAAATTAGTCTGAAGCCTGTGAAGGCAGGCGAGAAATGAGAGAGTATGCATTTGTCCGACATGTGGTAGATCTACGTAACTTCATATTTTGACCCCATACCGGGGATACCGGAGATACCATGGGGCCAAGGTTCCGGAAAAGTTGCGAAATAGTTCGCGAAAATGAAGAAAGTTGCGAAAGTTGCGAAAAAAGTGGCGAGCATCTTCATGATCTTTGGGAAAGGGTTTCTGCCAGTGAGTACACGACTCCCTGGCTACTGCTGTACAGCATTTCCTGAATTGTCATTACTACATGTACATGTACGTTACTAGTCTTGGTGGTTCGCTTGCTCACACATCCATACTCGGTTTTTCTTACCACCGAGTGTTCATGGTTCGGTGTTCAACCTGTGTGATTCCTGGACATGAGGGCGCAAACACACGCTTTCACGTTCCGGTCGACGGTCGTGTGCATCTTTTATCTCTCTATCGCAGTGTTACTGCTGGCCTGATGTTCGATTCTATGGCATTTCGTCGCACCCAGGTGATACAATTATGTGATCGTGATTCGTGACCATGGTGACCGGTTCATCGGTGTGAACGAAAGCGTGAAAACTATAATTATCAAATCCAGTGCAAATGTTCGCGCTGGGCGTGAACATTTGCGGCTTGCGCCGGCTGGTCTCACGCCCCAAGGCATAGCATAGTGCCATGCCAGGTGAACAAGAACTGTATGGTCCACAACAGGAGCGTTCATTCACAACAATGCACTTAGGCGTTCATTTTTATTCTCCATGTAACGTTGCGTTGTACGTCTTTACTTGAATCGGCAGTGATGCGCTTCCGACCAAGGCTTGTATAAAAGTTTGCGCTAGTTTTTTTCTCCAAAGACACCATCTCTAGCGATTTGAAGTTCAAGTTCCGCCCGTGTAGTGGAAGAGCTAGCAGGCAACCCTTCCTTTTCACCCTGGAAATTACTGGCAGGTACCGCTGTAGCCTGTGTAGGCTCGCAGCTGGCAACAGGTCACTGCCATGACCATAATGCCGCTCTGTCTTCGACTTGTCGGAGATATCCCGGATGAGAGACAAGCATGCCGTACTGAGGAGTTGATATCCGGTCGGTCTTGACTTTGAATACCTGGTCATATCTACGATGTGTACTGAGTCTGTGGGTCCTCACTACTCCGTACTATACTGTCCCCAGCCTCTGTTGCGGAAAACCTGCTGGCATACTGCCGCTGCTAGCCGGCACAATCGATGCCGATGGTCACTGAACATGAAGCAGGAAGACGCGCATGGAAACTGATTTCTAACAAAGTAAGATTCTTTTCCTGGTAAAGTAACTAGTCTTGTTGGTTGTACGTCATGTTACGTCATGGCTATTCTCCACTGGAATGTGCATCGAGATTGTCTGTAAAATTCAATGTGGAAGTGTGGTGTTCGGTGAGCAGGGTGTATTATAATTATACCAAAAGAATAAGCTCCCAAGAGTGTGCAACTCGTAATACCTTTTCTATGGGGTTCGCCGATAGCAAAAGCTCACATTACGTGGTGTAGTGTTTCCATAGTACATGTACATTTTCAGCCTGTTTTTAGCTGGCAGCGGAGCACTATAAAGTATAATACTCCGTGGCAGAAACTTGCTCGGCTGGTTTTTTCTTCTTTATTTATGTCCCATCAGTCTTTGTCAGTTCGGGCCCAAATCGTAACACAATCTGAGTGTAAACTAACATACAATTCGGGTATACCTGAACCTAATTTTTCATGCATTGCCCTGGCATTCTTTTAGAATTCCTCAAACAGTGAGTGAGAGTTGATGAGACTAGGCTGTCCCCAAATCGACCGGCCGAAAAATTCGCCGAAAGCGAGACTTATCGAAAAAATTGCTGAGCTTTTCGCCGATTATGGAGGGTCCCTTTGAGAATCGCCAAAAATCTATCAAAATATAATATTGTTGCAATGTGAGTTTAGCCGGGAACGAATGATGTTGCTGCAAGCATCAGTACTTGCACTAGTGCGTTGAGGTCGTGTGACTCGTGTCCTTTGACCTCTCAAACAAACATTAGCCTTTACGGGAAGATCTTTATTAGTAAAATCTCCAAATCGGCTGGCCGAAAAATTCGCCAATCACGAGACGGTTCTAGGTCAGTACGCCGAAAACCGTTTCGGTGAGTGACATTTCATTGCCGTCGACTGGTCGAAAACCGCGTCGAAGCTAGAACAATTCTCGACAGGCACACTTCGCCGAATTGCTGTTTAGGCGATTACCAATTAGGAGAGAGTTTTTCTCGACTACAGAGCATTTCGCCGAATTCTTGTCTCTTGCACACCTGGTGCCGAAATACATAATGAAAATGTTATGCTGGCCTTCAGAATATCAAAAAATACCTTGACACATTAGGAATGCCTCTCCGCCGTATGTTTCATGTACATGTGCTTTGGAAGTATATATCCAGTACCAGCACCCATGCGCCCAAGTAGCTGGTGTGGGCGGAACATAGTCGGCTGCATTTCGGGCTCTACGCCCTGTTCGCTTCAGAGCTGCGGAAGATGGTAAGCTCGCCACAGCTCACCACTTCCCCAGTAGCCCCGGGGCTATTTTTGTCTTCATGTAGCCTCTGTAGGACAGCTCGCCTCATTTTTGCATCTCCAATAAACAGTCTCGTTTCTTCCTCTCTGTCACGTGCCTAACTGACCAGAAACCGATTCTCAAAGGAACTCCCCAAAATCGGCGAAAAGCTTTGCAATTTTTGGATAAGTCGGTATCCGGTCAGTCAGGCGCGTGACATTTCGTAGCGAGACATTTTGAAGTCGTCAATTCATCGAATGACATTTCGCGACTGTGCTGTTTCACAGCTTGATTTTTCGCCGTCTAACACATTCGGCGAGTACATTTCGACGAAGTCACATTTTCGCCGCCGACCCTGTCGCCGAATTTCACTGAAAAACTATAAGCTTGGGGTGCGAAATCTTTTTATCTTGGTGACTCCATCATGGACCCTTATCCCGATTTTACTAGCCTAACTTTGCGAGGCAAACCCAAACTACTGCTTACTGCTTACTAGTATGTAGTTCACAGTAGTTTTAATCATTGTCATACTGGTCCAATTGTTTGCGCGTTCTCATTACCACTTGCTATACGATAATTGTGCTGAGAAACATAAACAGCTTAGGAAGATACCCTTGTGTCAGACCCCCGCATGCTTTAGATACCACGGTGGAAGAAGCGGGACCTAGCGATGAAAGTGGTAAGGGGGCGAAACCTTGCTAGCTGCATCCACATTACTCTCACTTCCGAGTAGTGAGTACCCATTTGGCGGGGAATGTCGGCGCAGTTCATTCTTTTATGAACCAACGCGTATTTTTAGCACTGTAATTATTTATATTCAACATGTTTGCAATCCCTATGCTAAAATAGTGCTGCAAATCACGGTGCCCGACTTTCCAAGTACAGTTCTGACGAGAGGAATCCAACCTCATGAATAAAGGTTGCGCCGCGTTCCAGTGCAGAACTACTGCGTAGCACCCGGCGGATTTATTCGTGAGTTTGGATTTCTCTGGCCTGCCGCACTCAATGCAATGTGTTATCCATCCCTCTTGGACCAAAATAATAATAAAAGAAAAAACTCCAGAAACGAGAACCTCGACAACAGGAGAATTCACTTTTCCATTCTGTATGATGAGGATATAGTCAGCTCAGAAGAATTTCATGGTCTATATGGATCTGTAGGCTGCTCAAAAATAGAAAGAAAAAGGAATGGTTTATTGTAAATAATGTGCACAGTTCCTGCTCAGAGCAAATTATTTCTTTCCTGCTCTCTCTCCAACATTGGGCCAGTTGCAGTGTAAAACACAAGACAGGTTCCATGATGAACCTACTGAACTAATGAGCTAAGAGTCTTGGAAATCGACTAGTAGCAAGTAGAACTTGAGGCACAGCATGAGCGGGCAAATAATGATATTACCCTGTGAAGTGAAGCCAGTAGGTCGGTGAAGACAATTTGCCGTGTCTAGATATACATTGCTTGCATTTTAAACAGAGGCGATAAATATTTCTTGTTCATTATCTAGAGAATCTGATGGTCATGGTGAGTCGTGACTGTGGGCCTGGTTTCTGGTGGCTATTCTGTACTTGTAAAGGACGATGCTCAGGACAATGATCAGGATAACAACCACAGATATCAGGGTTAAAGTTCCTACTGCCCAACCAGTGGCTTCGGAGTCCCTGTAAGACCAAGAACAACACAAAGAACAAGAAATCAAAGCAAACACAACCAAACCAGTGAACACGTTGCGCGCATCATCACAAACAGGTAATGCAGGGAAATCATTATTGCATGTACACGTGTAAACACGCTCGCCCACAATACACACAAACACACACATGCAAGCACGCGCACACACACGTACACACACACGCACGCACGCAGGACGCACAACGCACACCAGCACTCACGCCATGTACATGCTGCACAAAGCCAATTACAGTCAACTTGGCTAATAACGACTGCGGATATAACGACAATTCGGGAATTGCGACAGAATTTCCATGCCCAGAGCAAAATCCCATCCCATTGTAATACATATAATGAGATTTCGAGTATAACGACACTTCGCGAATAAGGACACCTGTTTGTTGCCCCGCCGAGTGTCGTTCGTTATAAGCAAAGTTGACTGTACATACCATGACGTACTACAAGAAGTGGGTCACGGGATGATCCCCACCGGGAAGGCAGTGAGGGGAGAGCAATTGCACGAGTCTTTTCGACTCAATTGGTCAGTGAACCAAACGGCCATTAACCCCCCATGCACGCACACAAAACACATACACGCACATACACATTCAGACACATGCACACACACACACACACACACACACACACACACACACACACACACACAAACACACAGGCACACACACACGCACACACACACGTGCACACACATACACATTCAGACACATGCACACACACACCGTAACACACAGGCACACGCACACACACACACACACACACACACACATACACACATGCACACATACACACACACACATGTACACATGCACACACACACACAAAACACATACACGCACATACACATTCAGACACATGCACACACACACACACACACACACACACACACACACACACACACACACCGTAACACACAGGCACACACAGGCACACACACACACACACAGACACATGCACGCATGAACACACACACATAATTATATACACACGTACATGCACACATGCACACACACACACACACACACACACATGCACACATATACATACATCCACACCGTAACACACATACACATGCACACATGCATGCACACACACACACACACATACACACACACACACACACATGCACACATGCAAGCTCACACACATGCACATGCACACACACACGCACACACACACGCACACACACACACACACACACTTACATACAACGGTATACACATACACATGTACACACACATGCATGCACACACACACACACACATGCACACATGCTGTATACACGCGCACACATGCATACATGCGCACACACATACACATGCGCGCACACGCACATGCACACACATGCACACATGCATACGCACACACACACACACACACACACACACACACACACATGCACACACACATACACACGCACACACATACGCACACACACACACACACACACACACACACACACACACACAGACGGGCTACAATACATTATACTTACTGGAGGGCAACCATTTCTTCGTATGTATTCTCCTGCATGAAGCAAACATGCCAAATTCAAACGAATATTCAGTAACGGTGAGTGGAAACAATTGCACTGAAGGAAGCACAAACAAGCAACTTTTTGCGCACAGAAATACACTCTATGTTAAGGAAAATACTTTTGTAACAGGTGCTTTCCCCATTAACACTTTTAACATGATTTAGCAAACCGGGCTGGAAGGAGGTAGAGAAAATATCAATGCCATACTCTTTGAAAGGTGTAATATCCTGAAATGTCATTGCATCTCGCACCAACAATAGTGGTATATTGTGCATCTAAACATGCAACAGGTCTCACCTTTTTCCATGCTCCCGTCGTTAAATTCTTCCTCCAGGTTTCGCCGCCGGGACCGACTATGGAGGCAGTGTCAATCTCTCCTGCGCTAGGCATCGGGTAGGATCTACCGTACGGAGGCCGGTTGATCAGAATCCGTTCGTAGGGCGCATGATGACCGCTCTGCTTGATGCAGTAGTAGATCTCGCAGCCGTTGCTCACCTCAGCCAGGCGCTGAGCGTATCCGTGTGGACACTGGTGCGGCCAGACATCCTCGCCTGTCAGGAGATTAAATCCAAGCTATGCAAAGCGAGCAGAGAATTGTGAACAATGTACTCATGTGCTAGTCTCCACCATAAAAAATTCTATTCACAAACACAAGATAATCAACATGGAAGCCCCACGTCACACTCTAGGCTCCCAACTTGTGGTGGTGGTGGTGGTGGTGGTGGTGTACTCAAGAGATGTGGGCTGGATCCTCCATTACCATCAATATCACGAGAGCCACCGCCGCCACCACCACAACCATCATCATCACCACCGTCCTCACCACCACCACTACTACGTCTTCGTTCTTTGTTTTTCTTTTTTCCCATACCGGAGTTACGCGCATAAGCGCACCCTCACAAATAAGCGCATGGCCTTATAAGTGAACCTAAATGGAGTCCATCCCGCGACACGCAGACACCACAAAAACACTATGTTCACATAGTTCAATGTGCATTGCGGTATTGCACTATGTGCATTATTATGCAAGGTACCGGTACACTAGCAACTCAAGCGCATGCGCCTATGTGTGAGACAAAACGACCCGCAAAAATAGCAAATAACGCAAAACTCACTCTTAAGCGCATGTGCCTTTATATGCGTCACTACGGTACGCACATCACACAACATACTCCGGCATGCACTGTCAGTTGGTAACCACCCTGGAGAAATATTGAAAGGTTAGGAGGAGACTTGGAAAGAGCAGAAGAATGTGTTCGACCCGGATGATAATCGTCGGGAATTGAACCTGTAATCTCTCAAAATCGACTTCACATAATGCTGCACTATATGGGACATACATACACACGGACACACTCACACATGCACAGACACACACATGCACAGACACACACATGCACATGCACACATATGCACACACATGCACACACACACACACACACACACACACACACACACACACACACTGCCCACCTTGTCCAGCCGCTTCGGCTCATTCAGATCCACCAGGGCTAGGGGATTCCCAGTTGAGCAGCTGAAGAAACCTGCAGCCGTACATGTACAGATGAACATCACCCTGTTCAGTATTGTGTCAATGGCCGTGCAGTATGTGCTCAGCAGTAGAAACAGAGACAGGCTGGACATACGTGTAGCTGCTCATGATCTTCTCTGTGTCCTACAGTGGAACTCTGATCAGACATGGTCTTCAGTGTCTGCGCTAGGATTTCAAGCCAACCGGGTACACGTGAACCTGGCACAACTCTTCCAGTCGGGTCAGAGCCAAGTCCGTTCAACTTCAAGTAAGTGTGGCTACTGCATTTACATGTGCATCAAGGACCTGTACATAATAGTACTCCCTGCTGTACATAATAGTACTCCCTGCTGTACATAATAGTACTCCCTGCTGTACATAATAGTACTCCCTGCTGTGCATAATAGGACTCCCTGCTGTACATAATAGTACTCCCTGCTGTACATAATAGGACTCCCTGGTGTGTATTCCCAACAGGGTCACAGGTGACCCAGTGTTCGTTTTCCAAACGGGTCCAAGTACCCTCCAACCGGCCCCGGCCGACCCGGCTCTATAGCAGACTCTGGACCGTCTTGTACCTGCATGGGGGTGGGGGGCAGGAGAGTGCACTTTGCATCGGAGGTACTATCTCAAACAATGTCCACACATGTCAAGGGTATGTCAAATCAGGCTAAGCACTGGGCGAGTTCCACTTTAGTTTACCTTGGCCTATGGATGTTCTGAACCACCTACAGCTGATGAACTAGGGATCACGGGGATCCAGTGAAGTGTACTTTTCTCTTGCAGTGTTGAAGAATAGGCACAATTTTAATTATTATAATGCACGTCCATGGCATTACCGACAGTGCACATCGGACTGCCTAGACAAGCCTAGAGTAGTCAGACATTCTGCTGAGGGTCTCTTCAATCTGACCAAAGATGGCCGAATAATAGAAATTGAGCTTTCTGCAGGATATCGAACATACCTCCGAATTGAACTTGATGTGCTGTTTGCCGACTGTGGTCCTCGCTAACGCACACCCTTACTTGAGAGCCAATCTTCAGTGGGTAAAACAAGTCGGGGCATGATTTACTGCCGGTGACCAGGTTTGACATCGTGTTGGTGAACAGGCCGCCAAACGCATACCCCTTATCTTCGGTCATGTTGACCAGTTCTGCACACCAGAAGGCATCGTACTCTGCCCTGGCCGTGGAGAATACGGTGTGGCAAACCTAAACACGAACAGAGTGCCATGCAAGGATACGTGCTCATTACTTAAGAGGACGAATCCCTCTCCTCAATTCAATTGGCTGTCTTGACATGCTACGAGGTGCAGGAAAAAAAATTGAAAAATTGAAATAATAATTCCAAAGTGCAGAAGAGCAAATTGACAAAAGACAGACAGACAGACCGACAGAGAGAGAGAGAGAGAGAGGTGGAGAAAGAGAGAGATGGAGAGAGAGAGACTAGCTATTGAGAAGATGTCTATCGTGGTCTCTGCAGTACGTCCCATAGGGACTAGTGTACTACATGTACCCAGATCACATGTACTAGTACCAGATAGCTGCAGTCTCAGGAGTGGATTGAGTGGCAGTTGAAAAAATGTTGTTTTCTTTGGGGGGGGGGGGGGGGGTAAACGGAATTTTGATGTTGAATTCAGCAGTTTCTCACAAGGAACGTGTTTTCCGAATGGAATGTAAAAACACGGTTCAAAAATGTTGTGTCTTGTGGCCCTCTAGCTCTACTTCACAGCAGTAGCGTAAAATTTCACGAGTCAGATGGTTTATGGGCAGCAGGAAGTTGAGTGGACAAAGTACATCACCCGGAAATTTACACGAAACTGATATAAAATTCACTTGACACCAGTACACCAGTACACAAGAAGCCCCCCCCCCACACACACACACACACCATCAGGACACCCCTACAGCCTACAAACACACCAGAACTCCCCCCCCCCCCCCACACACACACACACCATCAGGACACCCCTACACCCCACAAACACACCAGAACCCCCCCCCCCCTGGCACGCACACACACACACACACACACACACACACCGCACGCATGCACACACGCATACACACATACGCGCACACACCATATTAGTTTTGTGATTGATCCACTGCCTAGCATATACATGTACAAGTACCTTTCTGGAACAAGTACGACGGTGGAATACACTCCCACACTTGTAGCTTTTGTAGGAGCAAACATTCGTGTGCCAGTTGAAGTTTCGTTCACCTGAGAAAAGCTTGATTTGGTCATAGTCAGGGGGACACTGCAAGCCTCCTGCACAGATTGGTAAAGAAAGACAAATGGAAAGTTAGTCTAGTATGATTTCCATTTCAAATTTTCCCATTTGAACCTTTCCCTCAAATCAATGGATATACCATTTCAAATGCCTGACATTCTTTAAAGAATGTTGATGAATGCTTCCTGCGGTTTCAGGGTCAACGCCAGTATGGATGAGTCTACAACTTAATCTGAAGTAACACTGCTATTCACACTACTCTGCGGCTCATTCTTCAAATCCGGCAATTATTCTATTTATAGATCGAGGGAATGGAAAATGGAAAATGACTGTGAAGAATTAATTGACTGTCAACCCCCCACCACCAAATGAACCAATACCTTCTCTAAAACAATATTTATAATATAAATGTGGACGACCTCTAATGCATACCTGAAGATGGATTGTTCTGCTGTAGGCCTTTGCAAACATTGTTGTTAGTATCGTTGAAAGCAGTGCAAGTTTGATACACTCCACCAAACTTGTAACTTTCGCCCGTGGCTGATGACTTGCATAGCGAATCATCAGCCACGTTAGCCTGGTAGAAAACACCAAAAAGGTAACGAATGAATCATGAACTTGATTAAGTGAAATGCAGGTCAAGATTCTCTGTTAGATGCACTTACAAAAAGGGCACACAAGAAAATCATAATAATGCTTTCACTTATGTTACAGGGCTGCCAACTACTTGGTCCGCGTCGGCGATATTGTCGCTTATCTTTCAGCTTTGTTTATATGTTGCCAATGCTTACTTGGCAGCCCATTTCATCCCAATTTTGGTTAGCAAGTTAGTTTGCTAGTACCTGAAAGGTCTAGCTAGAGTTCGAGTGGATTTCAAGAACGACAGGTGGGCGATTCTGATTGATACAGCGCCGCATCAAAATAGATTATCTTTTTACGCTGTGCAGGCAAGAGCAGCGCAAGCCACAAGAAAGTAATCGGCTACTCGGAATCAGCTCCATTTTGCTGAACGGCCGAGATCGCTCACCTCAGGGATCGCTCATCAAGCTGAGATCGCAGCTCCCTTACCTCCAGCTCAACGCTCGAAGTATCCAGCGCATCGTGGAGATTTGCAAGTACTGTACGCGTCGTCGTCGTTCAAAATAAAATCTTGCAAAGAACGGCGTCTGATTTGAACCATACAGGCTGTCGTGCTGCCCACGCGAAGTCCTATAGAGAAGGCGACCGTCACGATCGACTTCTCTTTAGAAAATAGCCAGGCAGCGGAGAGGAAGAGAGATGAGCTTGCAAAAGCAAGAGAGTCGATCCCGAGCAAAAATATTTGTCGCCAGCGACGAGAGCAGCGACGAGGAGGACCGAAAAAAGTAGGAACCCTTCCTTGGACAATAAATTCCTCGCAGCTAGTTGTCATTCTATACCTTACCGTCCATCGTACCAAGTTTTATCACTTCAAGAGCACGCGTTCATGTGCAAAGTCTAAGTTCAAATTGTCGAAAGATAAGCGACAATATTGCTGACGCGGACCAAGTAGGTATTTAAGAGTCAATGTCGGCAACGACCAAATCACCGGACATGGCCAAATTTCAGAAATTTGCCTGACCTGTGGCCTTAAGTCCCAACTTCTTCCAAAAGAGACGTAGTATACTTTCCTTACCCCAAAGTTGAAGTTAACAGATGATACATCGAGGCAGCCAGGATGAGTGTTATACTTCACATAGGCTTGTGTGGCATGGCCCAAGTACTCTTGAATCTGAACAGAACACATAACACGATACAAATAATTGCTCCATTGTGTATGGGAAGTAGCGTGTGACCCTGTGCCGCAAGTGCACACACTGATGTCACACATACTGTAGGTCCCATCGACAGACGATCACAAACCCTTCGCTTAAAGCATCTATGAACTACATAGAAAGGTTTGGCTTACTGCCTGAAAAGTGCTCAATGCACAGTTTTTCACATCATGAAAGAGAAGATCCAAGTGGAATATGTTGTAACTCAAAGTTTCTTGACTAAGCAATCATTAGACGATGGGCGACTGGCCCGAAACGTCATAATTTTTTTCGACATCACAAACGAGAGAGCTAGGAAGCTCAGGGCCCTACGCTATGCGTTTTTGCCTAGCTAGCTCATCATGCATGTTATTAGAACTGATGGAATTTTTTTTCTTTCCATTGATTGGCTACATCAAGCTTTCTCTTTGCATTCGAGAGTAATACGACACCGTCTACCACCTTGATGACCGAGGCAAAAAAAACCATAGGGATGTCATAAATTTTTTATTTCTCCTGTTTTGTTTATCAAGACATAACCTGAGATTCGAACCCGCACTATCGCCCTGCATGCATCCCCGATACACTTCGCATACATACTCATTCTTCCAAGTTGCTTCACGTTAGGATCTTGCATTTGAAAGCCCTATTTGAATATTGTGGCCAACTGTTTGTGGCCAGCTGTCTTTGATGGTACGGTACGGGACAGGTACGAGATAGCGCCAGGCATGTCGATGGCACAAACAAACAAACACGGAATTAAAGCTGTGTGGACCCTGGCTAGCGCCATATGTTACTAAAGTAACGTCTTTTGCATAGCTACGGGAATAAGGAAGTTTTTTTATCCAGCGCATGGGCCGAGTGTGAATAGCAACTGAATAGAGCGATTGTCAGTTGACAATACCCCTTTTCTTTAGTCATTAGACAACTCTTGTTTTAACCTGGATTAACCAATATAGCACTACATCGAAGTACTCGTGCGTAGTCTCAGTTTGAAGATTTTCCTTTCAGTCCCCAAGAAAACCAGGAAAATTCTTAAAAACAGCGCCAGGTTCTACAAGCAGCCAGAACAAAGAGTAGGCTCATCTTCCGAGATATATAATATACTTCCTCCGTATACAAAAACTTCGTGACTTTTTTTGAATGGTGTTTTTGAGCAAGAACCTGCTCGACGAACGGCGCCAAAGGCTGTCATCGACAACCCACGTACATGTCGAGGTTAGTTTGGTTGATCCCGAACAGATTTTCCACGGACGCCATGCGTGTGAGGACGTTGCCGACAGAAACTCAAGAGTCAAATGAAAAAAACTAACACTTACTTGCTCGAAACTGACACAGTGACGAAGTGTAGCTCGTGGCTAGAACACGGAGTCACGCGGCACTCGCTGCCCTGAAACTGGCCAGGCTCGTACTTGCGGTGCGCGGCCCCATAGATCTACGCAGCGTGAGAACATAGATTTGTTTCGCTCGCACGGCAATATGAAACATTTCAGTCGTCGTGCAACCAGTGCAGACTCAGGATTAGAATGTCGATGGCCTGGCTTTCTTCGCCTCTCTCCAGTCAGACGTCTCCTTTGTCGCCAAGGGGAATCGCAGGGACCTCCTCGAAGCCATTGTAGAATGCTTGGGAGGATTATCCTGGCGAGAAAATGCGAAGCGTGTGGATGTGCTTGTACGACTCGTTTCACGGCAGAATGGAGGTCGTGGGTTGGAACAACTGAATATAATCGACACAGATTCGTACACAGCTCTAGAGATGAAGAGGACGTAGCCAAAAGTCCAGAGTCGGATCATCACTGCAGGTGACAAGAATCTGAACGAAATGCGTGCGGAAGCAGCGACTGTTGGCAATGCGGAGTCAGCGTCGTCAGGTGACAATGACATGGGCGACGAAGACTCTGAAAAAACTCAATCTCATTCGTCTGTGCTTTTTTCTTTGTATATAGCTTGTAAACAGGTTAGACAATGCCATGAGTGTTATTCCGTGTCAAATGGAAAAATTCCAGAGCTGTGCGCAGCTTTTAAAAAAAGTCACGAAGTTTTTGTATACGGAGGAAGTAAATTAAAAAATTTATACACACAGAAACAGCAGAAGCTACTATGGCACTGCTATAATCCTGATGGTGAAATGCACCGACCAGGTCTCTAGTTTCCATCGGCTACAAATCGTTAGGCTTACCGTTCGGACGGTGGGTGCTGGAAGCTCAGGCAGAGCAAACTCGGTGATGGCAAACTCCAACGGGTCGCCGCTGCGGTCCACGGCTACAAGGTTTGTCGCGAGCCCCTTTTCCCAGGCGTCAGCACTCATCCCCGGCTTATACGATGGCCCTCCATGCGTCCTGCAGCGATAATGTGCATGAACTTGTCAAGTAGGTGCAAACATACACATTGATACCTTAGACAAGATCACATATCATGACCCTGGAAGATAATTATTGTTTTCGTGCAAGAAAATGTTTGCACAAATCTGCGAGTAAAGAGACATGTGCCCTTCAACTGATTTCACAGACAACTTGAGTTGCCCACAGAGTGCATAACAGTTATCAGAAGGCAGTGGATGATGTAGTCAGTACAGCTACGCATGCACCTGCTAGAGAGCTTACTTTGTCGTGGACTGTGATGTTTTGTTGGTGAAGGACTCAGATTGATCTGTATCAATGACGATCTTAAATTTTAGATCAGCGGATTTGGAGAACTTGTCCGAAGCAGCTAACTCCAAGCCAAGTGCGAAGCCTTCACTGCTTGATTTCTTGTCAAGCAGTTTTGATACCTGCAAACACATGTATGCAATGTAGGCACGGTTAGCACAAATATGTCCCAGTCAGCTAACTCCAAAGTGTATTCATGCACTGGCTGTAGGGCGCTCCACTACACAAGTGCTCTACGCCCGCAAAAGGCAGCGCAATGACAGCCAGAGTATATATGGCCCATTTCTTGATAACATGGTGTAAAAAATCTTCTCTCCTTCCCTTTCTCCCCCGCACCCTCCCCTCCATTTCCCTCCCCCTCTTTCTCAGTCTCTATCATTTTGTGCATTGTTGACGATGCAAGATCACAGGATATTCACGGGCAAAATATGTGTTTGCCCCTGCCCTTGCAATTGCCCGCAACCACCACACCTCACTGCCATAATTCCGATAGGATACCCAGTCAGCGACCGATCGCACACAGTCAATAGCAGACAAGATACTGCTTTCACACAAGGTGTCAGACGCTGAACTTAATGTTTAGCTAGGCGCAGCTGTGAAAACAAGCATTCATGAAAATTGCGGGGGCTTGTTGCTGGTGTAGAACATCTCATTACATTCGTACGAGACTGATAAAAGTAGATCATGCGGGAGTCTTATTCTGGGATTCTCATGGAATATAACATAATCCCTGGTGGACTCCTGGCAAAGAAGATAGCATTTACTAGCAGCTGTAACTCCTAAAATGTCCTGTTCTCTCATCTTGAGGAATGCCTGTATCACTAAATAAGTAAAGTGCATGGAATGTTTGGGTGAGTTTAGCTCAATAAGCATTATTCCTCACCTGTGTCTCCTGCATAAACACTCCGCCAGCTGTGACAGAGCGCACAATGTGTGTTCCAAAGTCTCGAATTATCAGATCGATCTCGAACCTGGCAGCCTCAAACTGATTGCTGTGGACCAAGCCACCGATGATCATCAGGCGATTCTTCAGTGGCGGCGAGAGAGGAGCATCCGGCTGCACCTCCAATTTGTACAACTCGTGCCGGATCTCACACCGCGTGGTGGAACTTTTCGTCTTGACCTTCAGCACAGATTAGATAAGATTGTTGAACATTTTCAGCGCACGGCAAGTCAAAAAAAGGCTAGTGCTGTACATATCACATTATGCCAAACGAGGTTTATGGCGTAAACAATAAGGTAAGATAAGGTGGTTGACCCCAGCAGTAATAGAAACATCATCATTACCATCATCACCAACAACTGCAGCAGCAGTACTGCCGCCGCCGCTGCTGCCGTCATTGTTGGAATAAAATATTGTATGTAACTGCATCTTTGATATTTTCAGGCTGGTGGCGTTCCTACGGATGGTAACATCTCAGTCTAGCTGAGTCTCGAGCGATCCGTGAAAAATAAATGTAACTGAAATGCATACGACATTTGGGATTACAGAAAACAGTCACCACTTCCGCTGCATAGCTCGCTGGGCATCCCATTGCTTTGTAACTTGCTAATCCCTACCCCTTTTGTGTACGTGCTTTTCTCTTCTTTTTTTCTTTCTCTTCTTCCGTGGTTGGTCTCACCCTCTCATGAATTCTATTGGCTGTCGTGACATGCCACAAGGTGTAGAAATTAACGAGAGAGCTTGGAAGCTCAGGGCCCTACGCTATGCTTTTTTGCCGTGATGACCTAGACAAAAAAAAAGCATAGGGATGTTATAAATTCTTTAAAAAAATCCTTTTTTTTTAGACATAATCTGGGATTCGAACCCGCACTATCGCGCGCCCTGCATGCATTCCCCCATACACTTCGCATACATACCCATTCTTCCAAGTTGTTTCACATTGTGATATTGCAGTGTTACCAACTGCTTCTACCTGAAAAGCGTGCAACCAGATCTCATTTTGCGGAATATTTTGCTCTGTTGCGTACTCCAACCATTTTTTTTTTGGTATCCCCTCATCCAAATGTTCCACATTTTTTCGGTCATTTTCGTTCGAGTTTTTGATGAATTGCCGCAAGGGCAGAATGATTTCCAGCATAACATATTCGTAATACTTATTCTAAGACCACCTAGAGACACGGCAATCTCAGCAGTAATTACTTTCGTCGCCAAGCTGTCTCGAACAACCGGGCCAAACGATTCCAAACTGGTATTGCCAGCTACTACTCGAGCATTCTTTTTGTGGGTTTGATTATCCACGTGCCTCGTGACATCGTTGAATCCACCATGGGAGACGCTAAAATCGATGTTGCAGTATTTACAGAAAGCAAAGTGAATGCCCTTCTTCTTACTTGCAGCAATTCCAGGTGGCAACACCCATGTCGCCTTGAATTGGGCAAGGGACTTCGGTTTCTTCTTCGCCCCCACAAGCGGCCGAGGGTCAGAAGCAGAATCCGGGTCAGAATCCGCCATAGTCACTATAATTATGATAATCGTCAAATGAAATCCAACATTGAAAGTGAAGTGAACCGCTCAACTGATGTTAACAGTCAACTAACTTACTTGTTGTGAAAATCGACCTGCGTATCACGAGGAAACAAAACAAAAAATAATCATGAAAATGTCAAACGTGTATCACCAAGAGTACATAACCCCCCGGGGGGTTATGTACTCTTGGTATCACGGATTGCGCCGTCGATCGACGCGTCCCAGATCTGATAAAGTCGCGGCGCACTCTGGAGAGTTACGTAGATCCAGGGACCAGATTCTACTCTGTATACTACCGAATCTGCCGTTCTTGGTGCTACCGATTTTTTTGGATTTTCCGGGAGAATCTGGATCATTTCCGTGCTGCGGACAAATGGCTGTATTTCCGTAAAAATACGGACAAATACGGGCGGTTGGTAACACTGATATTGCATTTGAAAGCCCTATTTGAATATGCATTGTGGCCAGCCGTCTTTGATGGCACGGTACGGTAGGGGATAGGTACGGGACAGGTACGATCGAGGGTAATACGACACCGTCTCCCGTACCGTACCGTACCATCAAACACAGCTGGCCACATACAGCTGCCCGCAATATTCAAATAGGGCTTTCAAACGCAAGATAATAAGGACGTTTAGCAACGCGAAAGTTCGAAAGAAAATTCGAGTCTGGGAATGAGTACAGGAAAAAAGCTCGAAACTTCGACAACTTGGACGCGAAGTTGCAGTGATTTGCGAAAGTAACTTTCTCTTTTCTCGGTACGCATTTGACTACAGGGAGTAGTAATTTTACAGCCCCCTGCTTGAGACTGACCTGCATATACGGTACGGTACTATAAGATTCAAATAACTTCGAGAAAAAGTCATTTCGCATTGCTAAACCTCACAAGTTTTCTTTTTCGAAATTGATTTTCGCGAAATATCACTACCACCAAAAGTTCGAATTTTCGCATTGCTAAACGTCCTTAATAACGTGAAGCAACTTGGAAGAATGGGTATGAATGCGAAGTGTATGGGGGAATGCATGTAGGGCGATAGTGCGGGTTCGAATCCCAGGATATGCCTGAAAAAATAGGAGAATTGAAAAATTTATAACATCCTATGCTTTTTTGCCGTCAGATACGGATAGCGCCAGGCGTGACACAAACAAACACACAAACACCAAATTAAAGCTGTGTGGACCCTGGCTAGCGCCAGACGTTACTGAAGTAACGTCTTCTGCATAGCTACGGGAATAAATAAATAATAGATTGTAGTTGCCACTCAAATTTTATGCTTTTCGCTGTCTTTTTTCGCCGTCTTCAGGCAGCTGCAAGTAATCAGTTCCCCGAAATTTTCCAAAGTCATGAAGCTCAACTTCCAACTAATCCCGAGTTGCTTTTTCCATCTTGTGTGGGTGTGAAGGCTGTGTGGCGACATACTGAGCATCGCTCTATGTGTAATGTTTCTACAACTATTGTATTGAGCACTTTTCCAGCAGCTGTTTTTGTACTTTCCCCTGTGAGATTGCAGGACTCAATTACAAAAGCCAATACAACGTACCAAAATAAGGATGCTGATTCGATTAGGGAAAGACTAAGGAAATGCTGAAGTCTTTTTCCATCACAGGTATACTCGACTGAACGCAAGTTCATGTTCATGATGACAGAGAAAACAAGTATAGTGATCCTCCGCATCGAGGAATGTATGGATAGCAGATTTATCCTGCAGCCGCATTCCATTGCTGTCGGCTCTAGTACACATTCCAAGACTTGTATTCTGGAGAATCAACCGCTGGCCAGTCTTCGGCATGTAATACCTTGCGTGAGGTCACTATACTCTACATAAACTTTTAATTAAATTAAAAAAAAACTAACTGCACAAACATTTTCCTTTCTTCAGAGCTTAGAATGAACACATGAATTGCATGTACTCTAACCTGGTTGATCTTGTTGTCGTAGTAATCCTGAGAGAGTGACCCAGAAACCTGGTTATATGTGGTGTCCAGACTCATCGACTGCGACAGTGTGCTCTTGTAGTCGGTAAATTTTGAGAAAGACTGCGCATACTCCATCACCTGTAAAAAAAAAAGGGGGAGAGATACCCATGTGTCACGTGACTATTCATCACCTGAAAAAGCAAAAACCTTACATATGTATCCAGTGCATATTCCCAACGCCCTACGCATGGCCACACTAGCTCAGACAAGGTCATATGCGCCATGATGTTGACATTGCTCACAAAGGAAAATACTGAAACAAGGGTGGTAAGTATTGTCAAGGCAAATCTCTCTCGAATTCAGAAACCACATGTTTGACAACAGCCATTTCCTGTCATAGTCTAGAAAATATTATCTTGCTCTCTCTGCTACAGTTCTATGCTCTATGCAGGAGATGCAGTAAAACAAATTCTCCTCCAATGCCAGAAACATCACACCAAGAACAACTCCAGTGTTGTTCAATTAGATCCAGTCATGTCACTCAAGTACACGCCGGGTGTAGTGCAGCCCTAGACCTGCGAACACTGCATGGGCTGCGAAATAATGCAAGGCGCAAACTTGAGTGACGCGACTGGATTTCATTGAGGAGCGCTGTACAATGTACATCACTTGCCTTGCTTTTCTTCAGGGGCGTAGCGATGACCTGGTCGGGAATCAGGTAGCGCAGATCACCAGTCACCTGGCATTTCTCATAGGTGAAGTCGGAGATCACACCCATGTTCCTGTTGTTCAAGTTGTCCCAGCCTATTCCTGGTAAAACTTCCATGCGCATGTTGGTTTCTGAGGTAGAAAACAAAACAAAAAAACAGGCACCCATGGCAGGTAGTCTTTCAGTTGCTCAAGGAATTTGATATACGAAACTGGGGTTCGTGACATCATAACCAATATCACGCAAGTTAAATTATGCCCTAGTCCGTGGATCGAAGCCTTCATTGCATGACTCATCGGCATCACAAGTTCCACTCCCACTGAAATGTGGAACTGCTGAGACCAGTTACACAGCTGCAAAACAACCACATGCATGATGCTGCTAATACAAATCATTCACGTGAGGTCGAGTTTTGGCAGGAAGGCACTCTACCTTCAGAAACTTTAGTTGCTCAAATTTTCGGTACGAGGGAAAAGGACAGGTTAAGCCTAGTTCACATTTGACGCAACGCTGACGCTACGGGATGTAAGGGCCCGTCGGGAAGGCTGGGGGTGAGCTGTAAAATCTTGCACGATTCGTACGACACAACATGCTGCAGTCGTTGCGTCGTTCAACGGCGAATGGCGCGAGTCATAAGGCACAGTAAGTGACGGGGTGTGACTTTTGGACCAATTTTCTTGTTTATCGGGACTTTTCAATAAATTCTCCTCAAATGAAGCGGAATCAAGTTCACAATACCAGTTTTTTCATTATTAGGACCAGAAAGTAGCTTCGAAAGGTGTGCCATTCAAATAATAGCTTCAGGAAATGATAAGCAATTTCAGGTTTGAGGCATCATGAGCGCAAGCTGTAAATGCCAAAATCTTGCTATCGTGTAATGAATTCGTCCCTACTTTTGTGGCCTGGTAAAGCCACACTTATACATCCGCGTTTATGTCCTGAAATAAGAGGAAAACCTACTTTTACCAACAGGAGTTCGCTTTTCATTCGTTTCTATGAGGCAGGCGTGTATTATAATATAAGTACATTTAAATTCTTTTTCTGGAATTCATGGCCACTATAATAACATACAGTGGAGGCAAGTACAGTGGAATCAATTACCAGAGACAATTTCTTCGCATATTTCTGTAAACAGTGGGTAAACGAGTCCAATTACCGAACACCAGTGGCAGGAAGAACAGCAGCCGGAAGGTTATATGGCTCAACCTCTCCCCTACTCCAAGAACGTCAGTGCAAACATCTCTGGAAGTAGGTTCCTGAGCCTCGTCTCTAGGCACTTCCCGAAGAACACATCCAAGCTCCGGCAGATTTTTAACCGCAACACCCTGAAAGTGAGCTACAGCTGCATGCCCAACATGACACCAGTGATTAGCAGCCACAATAAGAGTAACCTGCGAGAGCCCGAGCTAACCAAAGCATGCAAATGGAGAGTCAAGGCGTCCTGCCTGCTGCACGGGAGTGCCAAACCAAGGAAATAGTATACGAGGCCACCGCCGAGTCTACCAGCAAGGTCTACATCTGTCTCTCAGAGACATCCTTCAAAGCCCGGCACGGCAATCACCTCGCCTCCATGCTTCGTGAAAAGTACAAAAACAACACTGAGCTCGCCAAACACATACGGGAGCTGAAGAGCGAAGGAAAGCTGTTGACTATATCACATGGAAGGTGTGGGAGAAGAACCCGTCGTACAGATGCGAGTCGAAGAAATGCAACCTATGTATCACAGAAAAATTCCACATCCTGACGACACCGAAGAAGCTCCTGCTCCGCAAGCGATGTAAGACGCAGCACCAGCATCAGCAGGCATGTGGAGGTACCGGTATGCTATCCTGAAGGGTCACTGCGGGGCCGGAACTGAGCTAAGAACTATTTTGACCGCACCAAAATTCCCTGGTAGAGGGATCCAGTCTGTTTAATAATGGCCAGGGGAGGGAAAAGCCAATGGCCACTATTGACCTAGGACTGTAGTAGCTGTACACAGGTCTTTCCATGCATGAGGAATCTGAACAACGTCATCGAAAGCAGGATTTACTGTACACATGTTAAAGGTTCTTTATAAAGTGGAGTAGCTCAGATATCCTCTTTCCACCATTTGGATTTCCATTTTCAGATGCGTCTACCTTCTGGCTAAGCTGGGCCTTCCCTGGTCAAATTCGTTGAACTGTGAAGGCTTCCCGAGAGTGCCCGAACTAATAGCCAACAATGATGAGGAGTCAGTGATGTGTTGCAACAGTCTCAAGTTCCTGACCCCACCACCACCCTAATGAACACACGTACGTGAGCATCAATTTATCAGCATGCCCAATGCTCATAATCTGCTGGCTTCGAAGCCGAGTACGGTGCTTCTAGTCATAGTTCAGGGAATAAAACTCCAATGCTGGAAGGAACCTCTTGTTGCCTTTGTGGGCAAGTGAGTGAGTGTATGTATGTGGTCGGCCAAAGAGTGCAATGGTGGTGGTGAATGTCAGTGCAGAAGATTCCCAACTGATGTATCTGTTATTATTAGGACAGTCAAACCTCGTTAGGACGAACACTGATAAGGCGAACTTTCCATTAGTACGAACTAAGGCCAATCCTATGGTTGGCCAGGCATCAATTCAAGTCAAAATTATACGTTTACGACGAACTTCTGTACAGCGAACTTTCGCGAAGACGAATTATTTTCAAGTGTGATTTGAACAAAGTCAGTGTGGTCATGTACATGTAGTACGAACTTTCGGTCCACGATCGTGTGCGTGCGCTGGCTGCCTTTTTTCTTCTTTTTTTTCAATAGTCGAGGACATAATGTACGTACCGTGCAAATTGTTTTCAAGCGTGTTTTAACAAAATAATCAGTGCGTTGTACGAACTTTCGACACAGTCGTAATTCATTGCACTTTGTCATTGTACTTACCTGTTTCTGGCTTATGCTAAGAATAACATGCTTCCCATGTACCACAGCATGCACCTTCACGTAAATACAATCCATCTGATATGCATATCGATTCTTTGTCAGATCTGGATAAGAAGAACTCCCGATAAGACAAACAAATGTGTTCAGTCCCTTGAAGTTCGTCCTAACCAGGTTTGACTGTAGATGGCCTCTTCCAGCTGAACGTTGATGGTAGCTTGCGTAGACATGAAAGCAGTGGTGGTGGTGGTGGTCGGGTGTGTGTGTGGGGGGGGGGGGGGGGTAGCGTGTCGATTCATACCAAGTCATGTCACAAAATGTTTTCCATGGAGGTAATGTACACACCCAATGGTCACAACAGCAGAACATGCAGAAAGATGCTCAAAAACGGTTTCCGACGCGATGTGACGTCTCACCACTCTCGATCTTGCCGTTTGAACCGTTTTCGCTTTTCCAATCCCCTGGCGTGGTCTCGGGATCTCGTGCCCCGTTTCCTGGCAGCAGCCAGTTCCGCTGTGTAAATTGACCCCTACACTGACATACCTACAATCAAGAGCATACTTGCCAACCCAGCCAAAGCAAATCCCTTAGTCACACACCCAGTTTCCCTTAATTTGTTTCTCATTTCCCTTATTCTCCTGGTTTTCGCCAATTTCGGCCATTTTCTCTTTTTTGGGGCAATTTTTGATTATTTTTTGTGTATTTTCCGCAATTGTTTTGGCAATTTTTTCTTACTTTTTACTAATTTCTAACCCATTGCTCATAACATTGGGGACCAAACACTGAGTTTCTTTATTGTCAGATCGCCCCTACATGTGTGATTCTGTGAAATTCAGGGCAGCATGTGCCCTTGTCACACCACAAAACAACCTTTTTATGAACACTCATGGTTCAGTGCCAATACCGGTAGTTTTTCATGGCCAGCAATCGAGGACATCTGAGAGTTGTAATTTTTGTACTCCTCCGAGGTGTGATTTTTGGCGTGCTGGGCCAAGCACAAGGAAGCCATCTGCAAAAAAACTGCAGAAAATGGTTGTTGTTTGATCCTTTGGTGTAATCTTTGTTTCTAGTCGAAGCTAGTTGCTGTTTGGAGCAGAAACGCTGAAATTGACTATTTTCTGCATGTACTCATACATGTACTCACTGTACTCAGTCATGCAGTCTCACTCGTATTTTAGCTCTTTTTCTGGAATGGATGCTGCTCTGCGCCCCTTGGTGAACATTTCCTGCGCTCGTGGAGCAGCTGAAAAGGACCACTGGTATGTCTGGTTCCTGGTTTGAAAGTGGAGAGTCGACTTTTGTGCCTTGAAAAAGGAGTAGAGAGCGATAAAGGTACGTCTGTGGCTTATTTTTGAGTGCTCCTCGTACATTTTTGATCGTGATAGAAATTCTCAGACCAAAGTCAGACCAAAGTCAGCGCGATGATGGCCGTACAGTTTTCTTGTGGATTTTTTAGTTGTTTCATCTCGTATCTATGTCAGTATCGTGATGGTGAAGTGGAGAGGGTGATTTTCTTCCTCTAGGCTTCGTTCGGCCGACTTTGCTTCGTCCTCGTTGAAAAGTGATCCTGAAAAAAGGTCGATTCGCAAAATTATGTTGATTTTGAATGTACGTGGTGACATGCGATTGCTGGCCATGAGATCAAAGTAAAAAATCCCCGGTACGCCGGTAGTGACCATAGTTTCCCGGTGTAATACTGGGAAAACCGGTATGATTGGCAAGCATGCAAGAATAAAAACGTTATTAGCTCCCAAGAGCAGGCCACTCTAAAAACTCATACCAGCTGTTCAAAGTACGTTCCGTGTCGTGCTACGTACATCTACACCCTAGGCCAGCATGTGCCCAGGCTGGATATCAGCCAAGGCAATGCTGATGACTCGCATAGAGTAGGCCGAGTTGGTTTCTGACAGGTAGTGCTATATTCACTACTCCATTGCTCGCTGTAACAGGTTGGGTACGTACATGTATAGTGTGAACACAATACCACGTGATGTGAGTTATCACCATCCGCGCACCCATAGTAACATAGTACGGGCATACAGAGCTGCACATGCATGGGAATTTAATTTTTACTCTTTGCTACAATCCACAGGTGATCACACACATGTAGTATACAGTCGTGGCCAAAGAAATCCGACCGGCAAATCATAAGTACATGTAGCTCTGCGCTTCCATTTCAATTACATCACGCACGGTCCAAAACCCACCCGAGGGCCGCAGGGGGCGCATGAGCTTTGACCCTGCTTTCGGCTCATTGAGAGGATTTCTTTGGCCACGATTGTACTTGGAATCAATCTTGCAGATCTACAAATCGTGCACTTAGTAGATCTACTCTCCTGGCCAGGGAAATCCAACATCGCGAATGTCATGTACACTACTGCCGAGGGCTACACTGCCCTGGCATTACAAGCACCACTCTGCTCACTCGAGCGCGTTGCTACTAAGTACTATTCATGTGTTGGATTTCTCTGGCCAGAACTGTACTTTTACCGTACAACATCCACTTTGTTCGTTTCTTAGTATTCTTACTGACAGCAGCTTCACAGGCTTTCCAGGTAGGGATATCCTGGCCATGTGTGGCCGCAGCTGAAGATTCATTTTCTGCTGGAGAAGCATTGAAATGGGCAGAACCATACAAAGAACACGACCAAAAATTCAGATAATTCCGCTTCTCTCCAGTACCCACAAACAAACCAGGCAGGCATGAAATAAAACCAAGTCTGCTGCTTTTTCCGTCGGCTAATTGCTACCTGTCGGGGCCGGCGGCAAGTCTCATGTCATGTCAGTGTCGTTACTTACGTTCCGTGCTCTGCGCTGCAGCCACGTGCACTGTCAGTACTAGCACGACGGCAGTGACCGAAACCACAATGCTCCCCGCCATTGCCGCACACAAACACCCTGCAAAGCACAAACGAGAGGAACAACACGGACGAGAGAACGTCTTGCAGTCGACACAGTCGACACAGTCAACGCTCGACGGAAAGTTTCATCGAGTACGACTAAAGACACTACTCACTGTCTCAACTTACTTTTCCGGAATGGCTTTTGTTTGCCGCATGGCTTTTTTTGGCTCACGTAACTCGTTACTTATCACTTTGACAATGGGTGAGTGTATTGCCGCTCTGCGAACGTAAGAAAGCGCTCCTTCCAGGGAAAACTGATTTCTTTTCGTTCTCCTCTTTGGCTTTTCTGGAATCGATAAAATCAAAGAGTGAGGTCTAAACCGGCTTCGCTTTTAGTCGTCCGTAGAATCTAGGTCCAAATAATTGAGTGAGAAAAATGGCGCAAAAATGATGGCATCATCACCTCCACGCGCGATTTGTGACTGATGATAATAATAATTATTAGAGAGGTTAAGATGCACGTTATTTCCGACGTGACGCGCAATTTCACGTCAAATTTGGCGTAAAACTCCAAATTTCGACGTGAGCAGCAGGTCACCAGGCTCGCGTTGATTTTTCGACGTGTGAGCAAATAACGCGAGCTGAACTTTCGCGTCACGTCGGAAATAACGTGCATCTTAAAGGGGAAGTTAAGGCAAAAATCAAAATTTCACCAGTTGTAGTCTTCGGGGTGCTGAGTTGAATGGTCTTGGTCCGAGAAAGCTGAGACGCTCCCTTCCTACTTGAATCCCAATCGAACTCGCGCACTTCCACCGAAACTGGGTGACTGCGCCCTACGAGATGGGGATTTGTATGCAAAATGTCACTAAAAGCGCCATTTCGTTCTTATAAAAGCACGGATGACCGCGATTGGCCCATATGTTGTAGTCTTTTGGACGCTGAGTCCACTGGTTTTGGTCCGAAAAGGCTGCGATGCAGCATTCCTCCTTTATTCCCAATCGAACATGGTTGAACAAGCGGTCACGTGCTCCTGCGTACACCAGGTACCTGGTCACCGCTGATGGAGTAAATTCTTTTTCTAATCGTGCCGCAATTTTCTTTAATACACTACCTGCCGAGTGGCGCAGACACCACCGTACCTCTACATTTGCAAACCAACTCAGGGATCTTTTTAAAGACCCAGTGGCGTTTAAGAAGTATTTTGACCTTCTTTTTGGAATCTGTTGAGTTTCTCGATGATCTTGATAGTTCTTGTACTAAGATTGAAGTTGACTTGGTGTTTGATTACTGTACTGCTTGATGTCTGAATTCCAATTTTTCTATTTTTTCTTTTCTTTTCCTTTCCTTTCCACTTATCCCGTTATCGGCCCTCTTAAGAGTTGTGTGTATCACTGTTGAGGCATCCGATGGTAAATAAAATAAATACTACTACTACTACCGAGCCTGCAGGGTACAACTTACAGCCTGTTTTGACCTTTTTGGGTGCAGTCCTGTCACTCGAGTTGAACCTTGGTGTGAAAGTTGTCGCCTGCTGGCGTGGTGACCAGGTGATTTGGGCACCCAGGAGCACGTGACCGCTTCTTCAACCATGTTCGATTGGGAATAAAGGAGGAACGCTGCATCGCAGCCTTTTCGGACCAAAACCAGTCGACTCAGCGTCCAAAAGGCTACAACATATGGGCCAATCGCGGTCATCCGTGCTTTTATAAGAACGAAATGGCGCTTTTAGTGACATTTTGCATACAAATCCCCATCTCGTAGGGCGCAGTCACCCAGTTTCGGTGGAAGTGCGCGAGTTCGATTGGGATTCAAGTAGGAAGGGAGCGTCTCAGCTTTCTCGGACCAAGACCATTCGACTCAGCACCCCGAAGACTACAACTGGTGAAATTTTAATTTTTGCCTTAAAGGGGAAGTGCATCGATTTTTCAAGTAGGGCTCAGATGAAAGACAATTGGATATCGGTTCCGATGGTATATCTCTCGCTTGCGTACGGCAAGGGAAACTTGCCATATCGCCGATTTCCTGATCCCGTTTCCATGGCGACTGCAGGTGATGACGCACATTCTGCTTAGCTCCGTGAGAGAGAAGGTCGATCACCGCAGAATTGTGTCATTTTCAGTTGTCTTCTTGTATTCACGAAGTGAAAGAATTACTGTGTTCAATGCTGTTAGTGCCGTGAACTGTTTATTAGTAGTCCTATCCGTTGTGTACTGGGACGTGACACCGACAGGGGAAAGCTGGAGTGCGGAGACGTTAGCTGGCAAGCGAAAATCGTGACGAACCAAGTGCTGAAATCTTGGTTGGGACAAATCAAACGTTCAGCATTTACCTCAACCAAGGACCATGCCGTTTGCTCTTTCCACTTCCTGAAGATGGATGCGCTGCCTGCTGGAGACTCTCCTATCTCTCGTAACATCTTCTGAAGCCAGGTGAGACGACGAGTAGCGGAGATTAGCGAACGAAATAATGTCGTATGTTTTGAAATTTTTGCTGAACATTTCTCAGGAGAGATGGCGAATACCAAGCATCTTCTCCTAGTCTAGAGAAACCATTTCGTAGGCTACATTCCGCCTAGGGAAATGGCTGGGGAGGACACACTTGGAGGAGAACGAAGTATGTGATCTTGTTTATGTTGTTCTTTGGTATTGCAATCTTATGTTTGACGAACATACGGCATGGTGCATAGTTGGTCGTTGAGTGCCTGCATGTGCATGTATAAGTGTGTGCTGATAAACACTTCCTATGCAAGAATCTGACACTCATGCTCTCTTTCTTTCTTGCAGTATGTGCGCACGTGTGTGTGTGCGTGTGTGTGTGAGTGTGTGTGTGTGTGTGTGTGTGAGAGAGAGAGAGAGAGAGAGAGAGAGAGTGTGTGCAGGAGCAGCGTGGAGCATGCCAGTGTGATCGCTGTGGCGTTCTTGCCCGTCACAAGTGTGTGGCTCAGCCCCCAACGACAGTGGAGGCGTGTTGTGGTGAATACTGTGTGTCCCGCGACCGCTGCTTCCGTTCGGTCCAGGGCAGGTATAGACACCGCTGCTGAAGCTCTCCCCGGCCATACGTCAGTCTCGTGGCAGATGACCCGAACTCTCATTTTGTGTGTGTGTGTGTGTGTGTGTGTGTGTGTGTGTGTGTGTGTGTGTGTGTGTGTGTGTGTGTGTGTGGTGTATTTATGTGTGTTGCTCTTGTTTTTGTGTCCCGGGCGCCATGGGGCGGCGTTCTCCCATTCTCTCTCCACTGCCCTTCCGGGCCCACGTGGCTGTGACTCGACAGGGCAGGGCAAGTGTGTGTATGGCGCATGGTGTGTGCTGGCATGTCTGTATAAATATGTTGGACAGGAATTTGTTCACCCACAACGTTGACGGAAAACCATGCTAGGTGTTGCTGGAATGTATGGAGTCTGCGAGCACTTACAATAACTTGCGTCATGTCACAACAAAGAACGGTGCAGTGTTTGACCCTCATGTAAACATGATGGTGATGGTACCTCACCTAAGCTACCCATGAAGCTAGAAAGAACATCAGGTCAACAGAATTGTACCAGAGGAAAGCATCTATTGCCCGAACTTCTTCATATGAAATGAACAATACCCTTCTCCATAGAGACAACATGCAGATGAAGTGTATGGACAAATAATATATAAATAGGCCATTCACTGAGGGCATGGAATGATCTCTACGTGTAGATTGGATAGACACATGCACGTCTGCAAGGAAAGCATTTGTTCATGGGTTAGTTCATGGGCTGATTGAGTTCACATGGACTAAGTTCATATAATGCCATCTCTCCTGAGCAGCAAAATTTCAAAACATACGACATTATTTCGTTCGCTAATCCCCGCTACTCGTCGTCTCACCTAGCTTCAGAAGATGTTACGAGAGATAGGAGAGTCTCCAGCAGGTAGCGCATCCATCTTCAGGAAGTGGAAAGAGCAAACGGCATGGTCCTTGGTTGAGGTAAATGCTGAACGTTTGATTTGTCCCAACCAAGATTTCAGCACTTGGTTCGTCACGATTTTCGCTTGCCAGCTAACGTCTCCGCACTCCAGCTTTCCCCTGTCGGTGTCACGTCCCAGTACACAACGGATAGGACTACTAATAAACAGTTCACGGCACTAACAGCATTGAACACAGTAATTCTTTCACTTCGTGAATACAAGAAGACAACTGCCAAAATGACACAATTCTGCAGTGATCGACCTTCTCTCTCACGGAGCTAAGCAGAATGTGCGTCATCACCTGCAGTCGCCATGGAAACGGGATCAGGAAATCGGCGATATGGCAAGTTTCCCTTGCCGTACGCAAGCGAGAGATATACCATCGGAACCGATATCCAATTGTCTTTCATCGGAGCCCTACTTGAAAAATCGATGCACTTCCCCTTTAACTTCCCCTTTAACCTCTCTATTATCGTGGATGTGTGGGTACGGCCCGGAGGTAGCTACTACAAAAGTAGTGGTTTGGTCAGTAGATCATCATCTACTACCGCCTAGGTGTAAGATGAAATCTGGCCTCGTGAATATCTACAGTGCAAATGTTTTCGCTTCCATTGCATGATTGTGTACGGTACTTCTTTACTGGCACTGGTAGATCTACATCAAACTCGCCGCTGTCATGTGCTGCACAACGAAATCCGATTATGTAAGTCAAGTTTGCACCCAGCACCAGTTCACACCTCCCAGTGTTCGCAGGTTCTAGGTCTGGGGCTTAGCAAACCCGCTTAATCGGATTTCATGGACCAGCAGTTCATTGAGAAGCTGAATCAATGGAGGCCTGCTAGCGCTAGGCTATGCAGTCCACTTGGCACTTTAACGTATCAGCTTACCTCTTCACGTGTGTCGCGTCTCCTCGCCACAGGAAAGTCCTTCTTTGGGGAATTGGTCTTGATGATCAGGAACTTGCAGAACTGAACGAGAACCTTTGCGGAAAACTATCAGTGCGAATATTCGACATCAGGCGCAGCGGGTCTGAATCTCATTCCAAGCCCTCCAAACCAGCAGTATTATAATTATCAGTGTGTTCTCCACAAAGGGGAGTGCATGGCTCGTTGAACTTTAAGCAAGTCTTCTCGGCGGGCGCCAGTGGTTCGGTTTCTAGCCTATATGTACACGTATATGCGTATGGATTGCAGTTGTAGGCACGATGTCATCGAGCATGAAAATATGAACACGGAGTTGTGTCCGGACGTCCCTTCCTAGATCCTGAAGGGTGACACGGAATACCTGTCATGTCCTGGAGATTCACATGCACTGCTCCCAAACCGGCGTATGCAACCACAGTCTTGCCGGACAGGAGATGTAATCGAGCACGGTCAAGCTACTGGCGATGTGTACTGACGTAGGGCATCAATAGCCATCGTAAATGCTGCTTATCATTTATGGTCACAAGTACGATTAGAGAGGCTGCAATTAACTGAGACGGCAACTGCAGGTATCCTGATCTCGGAACTCGGTATCGCAAAGCCCAGTATTATTTTGACCGTGTATGCATGTACATATACATGGACATGGAATACCTTCCCCGTGAATGAATGGACGTCTTCGAAGTCTGCCCATACGGTATGCACATGTAACTGCGGCCACACGGTATCTTGCTCTAATCTCTCCGTGCCCAAGCCCATGATGTGTTACAGTAGGTCTACGTACTAGTGTTCGGGTCCATAGTCCTTCCTAACATCGCTTTGAAACCACCAGTGTAACCCGTGTACATGTATTCCGGCAAAGTCAATTCAGTAGATTACCACTTGCCACTTACATCTAGCTAGAAAATAGGTACAGTATGTCCATGTACCAATAGTTCTTTTTTAAAGATTTGTTGGCATTTGCTGACATTGTTGATTGTGAAGGTCTGGACGTATGTTCTTTCCCACCTACACTGATTAGCTTGGGAAAGTACGGTCATATAATTATTTGAAGTAGATCTACATGCAGAGTGTTGTACAATGTTCCTAATCACAGGGGGAGGATCGGTTGTCCATCACTGAAATGAATGATCCCCTGAAATAATGGTTCTAATGTTCCTATCCTCCCAGAATCCGGTATGGCAAAGCCCAGTATTACTCGACTGTACGAGTTGTTTAATCATTCCCGTGAATGAATGGGCGTCTTCGCAGTCTGCCCATACGGTGGTCGGTAAGTAACTGAGACCACACGGCATCCTGTTCATTCTAGCTCTGCATGGTCAGCTACGCATGGTGGAGACAGATTGTGAAATGAACACCCCATTATCTACAACAATGTAGTACCAGTAATACTTGAAGTAGTTACAACCAGGGTAGCATCATTCTCATGGTTCCCTGGGCCTGGTTGCCACTGTGTCCAGCAGCGTTCTCTTCGACCTCATGAACAACGTGTTGTGTACGTAACACCACTTTTTAAAGTCCACCCGGTACCCATCAGCACGGTGCTAGGTGGCAGATGCAGCGCCTAGGGGTGAGGGTAAGGTGGTAAGTCATTTGATTGGGAGAATTTCCGCCTCCCTTGCACCGCATCTGCTCATAAATAGGCAAGGTTGTGCTGTGGCACAAGCAAAAATTCCTAAGCTGGTTGCGCCCCTCAACATAATTGTATAGCCGGTGGCGACGCGGATATGCGAACCTTTCTTTTTATAATGGTACAATGTTCTCAAACTCAGCACACAGTGAACTCGGCTTTTCAAGATTGCTTCAGCCCATTATAGTCGATAGAAAGTAGCGGAGTCTACGTTAGTAGAAAAGCCGGTCCGAATCATGTTTGTCCTGAGAGACACACTGATAGCAGTTTGAAGAGCTTCGCGTGCTGGACAATACAAACTAATAGTGCTTTCTGTGCATGTAGCAGGCATTTGAAGCTTCAAGGCTGCTTTGGCTATAACCCTGAATACAGGCCCTCCTCTCTAAACACAAGAAGAGCAAGAGTATTGTTCTACCCAAAGAGCTAATACTACCGCCTATCGGTGCATGGTCGTCAGGCGGTCTTTCCTGAGACCTCTGAGGATACTAAAAGTAATACTCGAGAAAGATATGATATTTGTTTTTCCTGATTGTAGTAAGCAGATGACAGCTACCCAACGACGGGGCAAACGATGCTTATCTTCAGTTATACTGTGCGAGTATAAGCCCTGGCTCGCCCAATTTCAGTTTCCAGTCTTACCACATTTACCGACTGGAATCACAGATTTTATCATTAATTTTCATTGTCCCGTCTTAGGTGTAGATATCTGGGTCAGTACACATGCCTGGGTGATTTGTGAGGACTACTGCCCTGTGAATCAAGCATTGTTCTTCCGCGTTCCTAGGCGTACCCTACCGTCCGTAGGGCCCCGCGTGAACACGGGGAAAAGACGTTGGCCGTTATGCATGCCGTGTTGCATGCATGGCATGAAAGACGGGCGATACTGACGTCGCTTCATGTTCAATGTACTTGCCTCATATCACTTTGAATGTGATGGGTCACTCCGGCACACGGGGAGTGGCATTCCCAGGAATAGTCACTGCCAGCTGCGTTTCGCGTAGCTCTGCCTACTACAGATCTCGTTTCTAGCTGAGTTGCTTGATCCCTCAATCCGTTGGAGCAAGTCGCTGGTATGCTACGGCACATACTGGGATATTCTAAATATGAATGATGAGTGGAAAAGGCAGTCATAATTCCTTGTTCTTGTTGATACGAAAAGAGGTAGCACATCCCCATCCCTGAGTCTTCTTCTCACCAGCTAAGTTCAACACCGCTGGGCTGGCGACAACATCAACTGGTATGTACTCAAACCTAGCGAAAATAAAACGATTGCTTGTAACTTCATATGTGCAGCTGTTTTACACTACGATTGCCGACGATGCTTCTATCCTCCCTCCCCTTTAGCCTTTGATTCGTACTTGTTAATTAAAAGGTACTTTGAAGTACATATACGTGGTCTAGCATTTTATTGCTGCTGCTGATGTCGACGTCGTTGTAGTCGTCGTTGTTGTTGTTGTTGTTGTTGTTGTTGTTGTTGTTGTTGTTGTTGTTGTTGTTGTTGTTGTTGTTGTTGTTGTTGTTGTTGTTGCTGTTGCTGTTGTTGTTGTTTCAAATCTCTATTCTCACGTTGTTGTTGTTTAAAAAATATATCCTTTTAAAGTGGCAGCACAAGATGGCGGATTTTGTCCCTTCTGATGCACAAATTTATTTTTCATTGCTATCAAATTGGAGCGCTTCGATGTGCCAAATAGCAGTCATAATTCCATTCCATATAATTATGCTGTGGAATCCAGACTTTTAATATTAAAAAAGGTTTTAATACGACGATGCCTTGAGTTTGAAATTACTCCAAACTTCAGACGCATGGCGTTATCGGCCTTGACAGTACATGCAATGTAACATCACAATTTCATAAACGAGGCTGTTGGTGCATTTTATAGTCCATGTACGCGTTGCCTGATGACTGAGAAAGCATGAAACTTTAATTAAGTAGCAGCAAACAAGCCTTGATTGTCCTTGTTGTTCTGTATTACGCTCTACGTCCGCGGTGTTGAGCACTGTCAGCACACTGGGTACATCGTCCGGTACTGCATATAGATGAACATGTAGATGTATATGCGCACATTACGAAGGGAATGTCTCGTGTTTTGATATATTCTTGCTTCCTAGCCGCATCTATCTTCAGGCTGTGTAATCTTCCTACGGTATGGGGTCAACACCCAAGGATGGCGGAGTCCTGGCCTTGTGCTTGACTTCACTTGTGTCACTGCTGTATGCAGCAAGTGCAGCTTCGACATCATCCGTTGTTCCTGCCAATGGGATGTCCTCGCACAGCAAGGACACTGGCGTGCAAAGCAACAACGAGCCAGATTGGGTCAAATGCAAGGCATATACAGGTCGGAAAAGGATATCATTTTTTTAATTTCGGCTAATCGGCTACTATACACTGTCCTTCCTTCGTCTTGGGGGGGGGGGGGGGTTAGGCAAGGGGAAGTAGTCATGTAGGGGCGTCAGCCTGCCTTTCTGCACCGGGAGGATTTTACTTTGTGCTCAGCTTTTGCACAGTTGATCTACATGTATGACTGTTCATAACTTGCTGCAATAATATGGACTGTTGCCGGACAAATTTCAATCAAACCAGTTAACACTTGTAAAGGTATTCACACATCAAGGAAATGCAGAATCACCTCATTGCTCTGCACCCTTGGTGTGTTGACATGACAATCCAACAATTGCCATTTTATGTGCCATCTGTCACTGCTTACGTTAGTGGTGATCAGTGGTTGTGAGCGGTTTGTAGTTCCACTGGTCTCGTAGACGAATGGCATAAGATCTCCACCTACTAGTCGATTGGTGCAATGGTGTTGCGAATAAACCCGTTCTCAAGTAAATTTTATTATAATTATAATCACGAGTGTAAAGGTGTCGTCGACACGGCGAATCCAAACTACCGTACTGACGTTGATTCTTCATGCCCTAGGTTCACATCAAGCAGCTATTGCTTGACCAGTGACTGTTGTAGGTTGACTATGCGCCATTGCTCTATTCAGCTCTCCTCGACCACCCTGTCAGCCCTGATACTCGCTTGACTACTCTGTCAGATACTTCTTCTTTCGTAATTTCCTAATTCCTGTCCTCTCTTTTCTAAATGCGGCTTATCCATTCGCCTTTATATCATTGGGCCTAGTTCCCGTTTATTGTGAAAATTAAAATAAACCCACCAACCAACCAACCAACTTGGCACAATCCCCCCCCCCCCCTGCCAGATTCTGCTCAGTCAAAAGAAAGGACACATATTAAATACTCGTAACCAGGCTCAGTCTGGTAGCAACCTTCCATGACACAAAGGTCAAGACGCTAGCGGGATGAGCTAGAAAATACTATAGCGATACTAATTCGCTGGTTTGTGGGAAAGACACAAACGGGAAACGTCTGAAGGCAAAATTGACTGTCACCATCAGGATTCGAGCCAGGGACCTGTTTAAAATAGCAAGTAATAATACAGAGAATAGCATGAGTGTTACACTCCCTATAACTGTGGATCCACATGTATCGGCTTGGTTGAGCACTCCTTGTGGACAAAATTGATATTTTTAGGCGGATCTCTCGCTTCCCAATCAGGTGCATCACGAACTTGGCTACAATATAAGGCACTGAATCCACTTCGCCCGCCCTTGGACCAGCACCTTTCTTGCAAACCTCAAAATAACTAGGCGATACATGTAGATCTACAGTGTTTGCCTGTCACACCCTATTGCACTACCGCAGACCTGTAGGAGCTAAAGATAGCGAAGGAATATCACACTGTAGATCTACGGTGTAGACAGTGTAAGGGTGATGTAGAATATACCACGGTGTAGGTATGGTTTTGTGTTACGCCGGCGCTGGCAGAGGGGCATTGCATTGTGTTGTCCATCTGAGATAAGATACAGTTCATACCGTGGCTGCGCGAGGCATTTTCCCGGCAAGCTTTTGAAGTAACTACATGATTGTATATGTACATGATTTGCACGTACGAGGGCACTCTAGACGGGAATTTGCAAACCGTCTCTTTCGGACCTAGACGAACAGGTCGAAAGCAGCTGTGTGCCCTACTGACTGTCTCTTTCGCTCCAGGAATCAAGAAACGCCTGGAGGTTTTGGCTGGCTCAGGTTGGGACACGCTAAACAACAAACAAATGGGCTATATCGTCGACCTCAGCTACAAGAATTGCGAAACGACACCGGACAATCAGTATCTACTACCGGACACTATGGTCGCCATTCCCCTGAAGACTAGCGGGGTAAGTCAACTGGCAATATAGTACTACAACAGAACGAATAGCCATGTTGGCCGTCAGTATGTACTGAGCGATACGAGGATGTATGCAAGGAAGTGCAGGTAGGGCGAGTGAAATCCTCTTCCTCCCCCGCTGCATGTGGGACAACGCCTGTTGCTGAGATATCCTAAGCAAAGTGTAAGAAGTCTAGATACATGCATATGTACTTCGAAGTACATGTATGACTGTGGACAGATACATGTCACCATCCCATAATTATTATGGTATGCCCTTGCGAGGACTTCAAAGTACATGTATACAATAAAACCTGGTGTAAGCGACCTCTGGGTTTAGCGACCACCTGCTCTTAACGACCGTTTTTCCATGCACCTACTACTACAAAGACACTGTGAGACCTGGTTCTAAAGACCACCTGGCTTTAACGACCGCTTTTGCTTGCACCGTGGGGTGGTCGCTTGATGCAGGTTTTACTGTGCTTTGGAGTATTTGTATGTAGCACCACCTCCTATGGGTTTCAGCCGCCCTATTATTGTCCAGGGTGATTTTCAACGGCCAGTGCTGTGCGTTACAACGTTTTATGAGAATGTTGTACATGGCTGTTCCTGACACTAAAAATTCACATATCAGACTGCATGGAGACAAAACGCACACAGCCACACACACACGCATACACACACACACACACACTCAGATTCAGACATGCACATCATGGAAGCGGTGATAGCGAACAGCTACGTTAGACATACTAACTTGTGCACACACACACATACACACATACACACACACATACACACACACACACACACACACACAGGTCTGGACTAGGGAAAGGGAAGTGCCATAACGAATATCCCAATATGAGAATAATTGTGAAGACTATAATCAGTGTTCTAGAGAAAACCCAGCACTTGTCAGCAGTATCCTGAAACAATCCATTTCTAAATAATGTCAGGCACCAATCTTAGAAAATGAAGAATATACTTCCCTAATACTTTGGTTGTGGGGGTAGGGGTGGGGTGGAATGATAAATACATTGCTGCTCGATGACGTCCGATTGCCTGTTCGCGAAGTGCAGCCCTAAACGTGCGAACAGTGGGATGTGAAATGGTGCAGGGAGTGAACTTACTTGACCGACATGATCAGATGTCACTGAGCAGCACTGTAGAAACATTCTCTGTACAACACACACACACACACACACACACACACACACACACACACACACACACACACACACACACACACACACACACACACACACATCGTTGCCTGCATCCACAGCTACAATTCTTTTCAGAAGAGATCTCGTCCTTCACCAACTACAAGAGCGCTACTTCGCAGTCGATGAATCTGCAGGTGAGCTCACCATTTGCAAGTGGCAGCTTCTCTGAGGAATATCACCACAACAAACAAGAGCAAGTAAGTTGAGACGAACACAGTAACCATGGTCACGTTGAATGAAACTGGAAACATTGTACTTCTGAAGTACGGTTACTCATTGCAATCAATCCACGTTCTACTTCTAGCCTGCAGATCAGTTGGTCATGCATTTCTTGAGGATTTCCGTCAGCGTAGTTGACTTTTCCCGACAGAGAGAAGTCCTTGGCATCTTTATCTTTGAGTGCCAAGCAATGTCTATATCTTGTTGCTCCGTTATTTGATGCCTTCCCTCCGGTCAAGTATATGGTTGCAAAAACAAGCCCGACCTGACCTCACTTAACCTTAAAAAGTCTCCCCGGGCCTTAGCTTACCATGACCTCACCTCGGAGTCACCTGGCAACTTAGAGTAACCACAAAGCATAAGCATGAACGCCTTTGGTGGAATTTTCACTGGGTACAATACTATAATAATTATCATTCATGATGAATATGTAATAGGGATGGCGTGATGAATATGTACTGTACTTTTCGGAGCCTTTTCGCCACTGGCACACCTTCTGTGTGTATGAGATTATGTATGAGTTTGTGTGTGTGTGTGTGTGTGTGTGTGTGTGTGTGTGTGTGTGTGTGTGTGCGTGTGTGTGCGTGTGTGTGCGTGTTTTTGTGTACGCGCGCGTACACCCTGTGCGCCTCTGTACATGTTTGTACGTCTATGAATGCACACGTGTATGCATCGGCTTTGATTTACATGATTTGATTGGATAGCACTCGCACAAAGCGAAGACGATGCGCACGCAAATCCGCCATGAAATCTACCGGGTGATGGCAAAACCAGACGCGACTCTCGCGCCAGAGCTCAAGAACCGCCTGCTTGTTGTTGGCGAAATGCTTCACACCAACAGATCCAAGGCAGCAACTCACGAAATCGAGCTCATCATCAGAGATTTCGGGACACATATCACCAGATCGGTTACGGCAGGTGGAATATTTCTACAAGAATCTCAGGTAGGCTCACCGGTGCAAAGCTGTGTAACAGGATTCCGTAGTAAAACTTCCACCTGCACAATGTATAAGTAATTTTCTGGTGGCGTGGCAACAGTAACATTGGTTTGAGAAATGCCATAAATAGAAGTTTGTTACACCAGCTGCCTTTCTGACCACCCCAGTTACTGTTGTCATGTTCAACCCTCTTTGAAGTTGTACACTGTACTTACTGTTGAGGTAACGAACTAAAATAAATCAAAAACAAAACAACTGAAAAGGCTTTTAAAGAATGGGTTTGCTCCCACACTGGAGCTCGCGCTATTCCGCCGACTTGACGTGACACTTGACTGACTCACGACTGCAATCCAGAGCACACGAGAAGTCCATCGAACCTTCGACTCGGCAAACCTGCAAGAAGGCACCACTCGCTGCTCAATACACAGTGTTTCGGGGAATTCACCCCTCATCAGTTGAGCTTGAGTAGGCTGTGGAAGATTGTGCCTGAAGAACACCACTTATATAGTGCTCTCCAGGCACAAACATCACCAGGGATACAAACTTACAGAGTCGCAACCACTTTTTCGAACAGAAAAAGCTGTATCAACATTATCACGGAAGCTTTATTAAATTTGTCACAAACAAATAAATTTGAACTCGGATGGTGAGCCAATTCAATCATGGTAAAAAAGGAGAGGGACAAAATGTTATGAGTTATGACTAACTCTCCACCACTGTAACCAGGTCATACACAGTCAGCGAGTGCGACAAAATGGCACAACACTGACAATGAGTAGTACGGGGACAGTGGCTCGGTCTCTGCATTGTCTCAGTACTCCTTGTCAGTGTTGTGCCATTTGCGTTGAGGCGTTGTAAAGCATTGCATTTTGCCATAAACCAAACAAAGCTTTTCCGTCACTGACGGTCATCCCGTTTTCATAAAGTACTTCGAGTAGTCATGAAACCCTTGACTGACTTCAACCGGAAATTTCAGGATACACCTTGCGGATCGCCGGAACCCTGTGCCTCTCGACTACCGGTCAACTGCTCCTCCCAATACGCTATAGGCAACACACAACCTTAAAACCTCCAATGAGCCAAATGGTTTCTTTTTTTAAAGAATGAGGACGTAAAAGACCCGTCTATGTAGCGCTCCAGAGTGCAGCTCTCTCTCTCTCTCTTTTTACTAGTGCCCCGTCGTTGGGGTGACGTTACAAGGCAAAGGTCCGGAATCGCTTATCGTGTGGGTACGGTACCCGGCCAAAGAGGCAAACACAATGGTGAAGATGAGTGCTACAATGTCCTCACTATACGGAGCACCATTGGAGAATTGTATTTTACTTGCATCTGCTGGATAAGCATGATTGTAATAATTATTTCGTGTTTTTTTCAGGTCGTAAGTTCATCCGACAGCAAATCGGAAAGTGAATCATACAGCGTTAAGGCTCAAGCCGCTGCTTCCTTCTTTGTGTCTGTGGGCGTTAGCAGCTCCTACGACAAAGGAGAGTCATCAAGTGAAAGCTATAAGCACAATGTGAAACAATCTTCAACCAGGTAGGTGTGTGTGTGTGAGAGAGAGAGAGAGAGAGAGAGAGAGAGAGAGAGAGAGAGAGAGAGAGAGAGAGAGAGAGAGAGAGAGAGAGAGAGAGAGAGAGAGAGAGAGAGAGAGAGAGAGAGAGAGAGAGAGAGAGAGAGAGAGAGAGAGAGAGAGAGAGAGAGAGAGAGAGAGAGAGAGAGAGAGAGAGAGAGAGAGAGAGAGGAGAGAGGGAGAGAGGGAGAGAGGGAGAGAGAGAGAGAGAGAGAGAGAGAGAGAGAGAGAGAGAGAGAGAGAGAGAGAGAGAGAGAGAGAGAGAGAGAGATACTCAATCTGGGGACAGAACTGTTTCGTCCTTTGAGGACTCATCAGCGCAACACAGAGAAAATGAGGCCAAACCTGATAGGAATGAAGCATATATTTTCCAAAGCCAGATTTAAACCAGGCCCGAACGTACCTTGCCAGAGTGCTCAAACTGACAAGTCAGTGATAAACATAGAAAGGGAAAGGGGAAGCTACACGAAGACGAATTGTGACAAACCGGAATGGCAACATCCTTCTGAACTCTACTACCATGTAAAATATGATGGACTAGTTATGCACGGGCGGAAATTGAGAAAAATCAGAGCTGGCTGGTCCAAACCTGTTGCATCCCACCACCTCTACATCCCACATGCAATTCCCAAGGGGTGGTCACTGCTCACACAGGGCCAAATACCTAACGGGGCCCAGGTGACAGTTCATCGCACCACAGGCAGAAACGGAAAAGGGGGAGGGGGAGATCACAACTGGCGCGTGTACGCGTGAAACCACGCGTTTGTGCGTATTTTTGCAGGTTTTGGGGGCGCCATGCGTACGGAAACGCGCCTAAATGGAAATTCCAACATTTTTTTAGGGTAAAAACTTAAAAGCCTCTTCTACGGGCATAACAAAAAATAATTCTTGTGGTGAAGGAAAATACTACCGGTACGCGGTATAGCTAAAATGTGGAAGACAAGCTCAACTGAAGATCACGTGACAAGAATGTGGAGAACCACGGTTACATGAATGTGCCATGCAGGATGTCCAAGGACCAAGGTTAGCCAGGCAAGCAGCACTCGGAGACCATCAGCGATGCGGAGCCCGTCGACGCTACTGTGTGAGAGCGACCGCGGTGACCTCTGAGGCACGCAATGGCCGAGCGAATCAGCGCAAAGCCAAGCCGACACTGGATATAACTTTTTATTATAAGCCATCATGGCCGAATATGGCTCCTTCCGCTTCTCGCAAAGCATTGTGGCGTGTTATGTCATTCTGACACTATTCATGACAGAACAGTTTGCGTAACGGTCGTTGCTCAGGTGTGGTAGTGGGACCAAACTCTAGCTTCACTTATAAGTGATTATGATAACGAAAATGACGATGATGCGAGGAACAGTCCAGAGAGTCGCGAACTGAAATGTGTGAACTGAAAGGGCCTTCCCAACTCCCTGGCTTGTATTTGGCACGGATCATTCTCTGGCAGTGACTGTCTGGCACTTTAGTACAGTGGCAGAGGTTTAGACACCCAGCTTACAGCTAGCTGCGGACAGAAAGGGCCAGGGCTGCGTGGGGTATTACATGCCTGTCAACATTTGCACATTCTGCCTGTCAACATTTGCACATTCTGCCTGTCAACATTTGCACATTCCATGGTAAAACAGAGTTTGAGCGTGTGCGGTGCATGTAGTAGCAAGAGTATAATAATAACCTCCCAAGACTGTGCAACTATGTACATGAACGTGCATTATGGGGTCTCCGACGGCGAAAACTCACATCACGGGTCTCAGATGCGTTTCGTACTACATTGTACGTACAAACGAAGAATAGCGTGCGCGCAATCTGAATATCTGCCATGATCATTAATTTTCATGCTGCCTATTGCTGGGGATTTGCGAACTTGCAGTAAGTTTCTGTCAGAGAGTGCTTTTTGTATTACTCAGCTCCTCACTAAAATTAGTAAAAACGGGCTCCGGCCTGTCCGTCGGCGAACCCCATAGAAAGTGGATCAGAGTGTAGCTTTTGCGTCTTCACCCTCCACTCTTCACAATGCATGTCGGTCAACACTGCTTGTGTCCTCGGCGGATCCCTTCTCGGCGGCGAGGTTGAGGGCGCGCTTCAGGCAGGGGTCACATCGTTGGCCGACACTCTGCGCCAACTGCTCATCAGCCCTCCTGGCAGACTTACGTGCCTGCTTGCTTACCGTTGCCGTCGCCATGCGAATGCCCTCCATTGACGATTCCTGGGCAAGGATATTTTCAACAAGCGGAGCAGTCACTTGCACAGAGTCCTGAAACTGCCCAGCAAGTGACACTGGTGATACCAGGCCCAGTCCACCATGGCAACACGGTAAAGCGAGGACCTCTCTCTCCAAAGTTACATTGTAGCCCTTTCCCAAAGGTGCTCTTTTAGCACTTAGTCAGACCAAAGCCCCAGGTGGGGCGCGTCCTAACAGCCTTACAGGTAGCCCTTGGCGGATTATGCCGGCATAATATTTGGCATAATCTTGGGATTTCGTCAAAAGATTATGCTCTTGCATAATATACGGATTCCAACGTGTAAGGTCGGCATAATCTTTCGGTTTAGACAAAAATTATGCTTAGGGGAATAATACAGCTTTGTCAGAAAGCCTGCAGATGTTTTATTTTATTTAAATACCCCAGTTACGACTCCTTGTCATAGACCTTGGCGGATTATGCCAGCATAATATTTGGCCTAATCTTGGGATTTCGTCAAAAAAATATGCTCCGGCATAATATACGGATTCCAACGTGGAAGGTCGGCATAATCTTTCGGTTTAGACAAACATTATGCTTAGGGCATGGCCGTGTGTGTATGCGTGGTTTCTCAATCCTCTATGTACAGCGTGAATACATAGTGGAACCGAGCATAATTCAGCATAATTCAGCATCTTTGTTGGCATAACTGTGGCATAATCAAAAGTATAATTTGACGATTGGCCGAGCATAGTCCGCCATGGCTACTTACAGGGCGGGGAGGAAGAACTCAGACACGGCTTACTCGACGAGCTGCGTTGCCTCTGCTGCATCGGGCATTGTACGGGCAATGAGCGACCACTTGTGGCGTAGGACGTTGGTGAAGACGGTGTACGCTGCTTGGGGCTGTGTGGCAGCAAACACTGATAGCTGCCTAACCTCTGCACACCATTGCTCTGCTTTCTTCCTTCCATACGAGCTACAGAACTCCTCAGTGCCTAGTGCAGCTCCCAGGTGCCGGTGACCATCCGTGCGGATGACAATGCCGGTGTTGCTAAACACCTCCTTCGCGGCTTCTTCGTACTGAGGCTTTACCAACAGAACAGCTAGACTTGGTGGTGGTGGCATTGATATAGTACCCGAACTCTGGGCCTCGGCTCACAAGGATGTTCCACCACGTGTGTAGCATACGGAGCCTTCCAGCAGAGTTTGCATCATCCACAATTTTCCTTCTCCTGTTTTTTACCATGAATACTTTCTAAAAGTTGTTTAAGAACCTGAAGTGTATCCTTCTTTTACGTGGTGTACAGAGAAATGAATGCTGTGACTTCGGTATAATTATCTGTGCATGTACAGAAAAACCTGTGACTAACGACCACCCCTTGGGGCCAGAGGAAACAGTCTTTAGTTGCAGGCGGTCGTTAGTTAGAGGTTTGCACAGCACAACCATGAATGTGAGACCGTCCGTGCCTGGCGAAGTGGTCTATAATAGTACCAGGTTGGTCGCTAGTCACAGTGGTCTTTAATTACAGGTTGTACTGTACATGTACCTGTATGTGCACGTCCAAACAAAGTGCAGACACGGAACCATTGAATATGTTCGTAAAAAGTACGATGAGGTGCATGAACAAAGCACAACGCCCTGTACTGTCTAATTCTGATATTGGAGATGGATCGGAACACGTCATGTTGAATTCCTCACTATTATTCATTTTCCCCTCCTCGTGGTTTTACTGCATTATGGCGCGCTTTGTCTGCGTAGACGCCGAGACCTTTGAGGTCGGCAGAGCAGCCTGGCCCCGCCACCACTTCTCGCACATAGTCGGGAATATAGTGGACTTTCGTATAAAAAAAAAACACAACAAAAAAAAACATACAGGCTTTTCATGTGCAGCTCAATGATGCACATCTGTGCTCACCCCAAGCATAATATACAGATACAGAAATTATAGTGGGGGTGCTGAACATACTGCACTCGCATTTCACTAGCTAGCACAAGACTAAGTGGACGACAAACGATCGCAATAGCGTACTTCCAAAGTAAGACATACAACAGCGTAAACGCTGCAATGTCCATCCAGCTGCAGACTGTACATACATGTATAGTTTATAATATTATTATAGCGCCTGATAAGAAGTGCAACATTCTGGCGGTTCCGTCCTTGAACTGAACAAGGCGAATCGAGTGTCCCATACTATTCAAGTTGAGTTCTACTCAAAACAATCAAGCCCGCGTATTTCAGGTTTATACCACCTCAAGCAACACGCGCACAGAAGGATCGGGCTTGACTATTATGGCCATCGTTGATTGTGTCTCAGGAGCATCTGGATCGGGCAGTAGATGAAACCGGGACAGAATCATGCTCAGTATCACCTTCATCTCATCCATGGCAAAGTGCTTGCCGATGCAGGCACGTGGACCACAGCTGAACGGGATGAAGGCGTAGGAACTCCGTGTGCTGCTTTGATCTGGCGAGAATCGATCAGGATTGAACGTGTCCGGGTCAGTCCAGACTTGCTCGTTGTGATGAACGCCGATGATGTTGATCTGATAGTCGGTACCTGCAGGAAGCTGAACGCTATCAACTTGGCTGGCTTTATTGCTGGACTTCAAGGACATAGGAGCAATAGATGCAATACGGAGCGTTTCCTGGATGGTTTGTGAAAGATACTGCAGCTCCGCCAGATGTTCATGGGCAAAGTTGTCCAGGCCACCACACTTTTCCAGAACATCCATCACCTCCCGTCTGCAGCGCTCTTGTACAGGCTTGTTATGGCAGAGGTAGTGTATGGCCCACTCCAAACCGGAAGACGTAGTGTCATGGCCTGCAAAGAGAAAGGTGTCCACGTGCTCACGGATATCCGTGTCACTGTAACCCACGCCGTCTTCATCTCTCACTGTCAACAACACGTCGAGCATGTCTCGGTGACGCTTCTCATCAAACTGACTCGTCATGCCTTCGTTATCTTCGCCCTGCTCCAGTAGTGCCCGTCGCTTACTAATCAGCCGGTCACTGAATTCGTGCGTTTCTGCTAGAAGCTTCTTGAAGCGGGCACCAGTTGCTGAATTGAGGAAAATAAAATCAAAATAAAACCAGGGTTTCTTGTAGCGATCGTAAATGATTTCTGAAATTTCCTTTGTAGCCGCACCATATCGCCTGGCGGGTGTTCTTGGGTCGCTGTCAGTCTGGCATGTAGTTTCTGCTCCCATTGCACACCTCAGTATGATATCGAACGTCAGTATGGGTAAGAATTCCGCTATGTTCACACTCGTGCCCGCCTGCAGCTCCTCCCATATGTCCAGAGTGATGCTGGTGGCCTCCTTGAATGCACGCATATATTCTCGCCGCATTTCTATTGAGAATGCCTTTGAGAGCAAACGGTGATCACGTTCCCAACGTTTGCCTTGAGTCAACACAAGACCGTTCCCCAGCCATGTCTTGGCGAGCTTTAGAGCAAGCTCATTCTTCGGGGGGTTTGTTTTCATGACCTGCGCAATAGTGTCGGGATGGCTCACTGTAACGGAAGAAATGAATGGGCCAATCTGCTGTAACATCATTCGTGGCAGCTTCCGAGCATAGGCGATGTATGCGTTTCTCGCCAAGCGATCATCAGCCACCATGTGTCCCCGAATCCAGTGTGGCTTGCATGGTTCGGGTACTCGTTGTTTCAGATATCGGCGACGGAGCCACCAACTCACCACAATGTGGAGCAGCTTCGCCAGCAGGCATGACAAACAGACCAAAGCAGCAACGCGAAAAAACTTCAAATCGAACATGATGATAGAAACCCTGAAACTCTGTCTAGCGAACACACTGCCTACAAATGAACTAAAGGTGGATCTAGTGATTGGTTATGAACAAGGAAAGGAGCCGTGCAAGGCTTTCGAATTTCACGACTCCGGTCCCTGGCTACGATCTTCTCAGCATCACCAAAAAGCATAATATAGTGGACGTGAGGAATAGCGTAGTATCAGCAATAAACTGACACGACCTGTCAGTGATGTAGTAGGCAGATGGCCTACGAGTCCGTGGTCTACGTATTTTGTGGTTTGAAGCCTCCGGAGCTCCGGCTCCCTCGAGCTCAGATTCAGAACAGCTTACATGTACGGCTGCACTTTAGACAGCCGTAAACCAGCTGGAAGCTTGGGGAAGCACTGGGAGGGTTACCTTTGAGCGCTCTAAGTCACAGCTGATGTCAGTGACTAGGGACCAGGAAGCTGGCCCCTCCAGATTTCCCCCTGGCACCCCTGTTCCTGTCAGCAGCCAGTTGAAGCTCCTTGGGGTGGTGTTCGACGAGAAGTTCGGCGCCCACCTCCACCAGCTTTCCGTGCGCGCACATCAACGCCTCCATTTCAGGCGGAAGGCAGCCCCATCCTGGATGCTGCCGGACGCCTGACCGTCTATAAGGGCTTCGTAAGGTCGATACTCGAGTATACCCCACTAGCCTGGCTTGGTGCTGCCCAGACCCACCTTGGGAAGTTGGACACAGCACAGCGCAAGGCCATGCAGATGATTGGACCCACCACCGTCCTCCAGAGTCTGCGGGCCAGACGGACAGTCGCAGGGCTATCCTATCTTTACAAGGTAGTCTACAAGGGCCCACCCCGTCTGACACGCATGCTCCCTCCCCCAAGACCATGGGCCGATACTGTTCGAACCCGCCAGCAGCATTATGCTCAGCGCCGGCACGGGGAACAGCTCTTAAACACCACCCCGGCACCAGTCCCGATTACCTTCGACGTTCCTTCCCGTACTGTTTCCTTGAATTGTGGAACAGCCTCCCCGAGGACGTCTTTCCCAGTCTGGCCAATCACTCTCCACTCACAGCTTATAAAAAAAGGCGTCAACAAACACATCTCAGAGCAGCCATGGTCTTGGGACGTGCTTTGAAGCCCATCATGTTGATCGTCTCACTGTTCTTTCCAGATCGCACCTCTCGGTCTGGGGATGTGCATTGAAGCACCCCATACTAACGGTCTATACAGTCCTCTCTTGAAAAAAAGTATTCTTTCTAGACCAAAGAGTGGTATATTTGATAAATAAAGATAGAAATATTTGCGATACTTCTCCAGACGTTTCGTTGTTCTGAACAACATCGTCAGCGGATAAAGAGAGAAAGAAAAAAAGACTTTCTTTATCCACTGACGATGTTGTTCAGAACAACGAAACGTCTGGAGAAGTATCGTAAATATTTCTATCTTTATTTATCAAATATACCACTCTTTGGTCTAGAAAGAATACTTTTTTGATATTACAATGAGAGTGGATAATCAACGGCTTGTCCGCCAACTCTTTGTCCTCTCTTGGTCACCACTCTCCCTATTACCTTTATTGTAATTACTAACGTTATTCATGTATTGTGCTTTTGATTTTCTTCCGCTTTTGTCTTTTGGTGCGTTACCGGCATGGCGATACTGAGACCTATTGGTCAATGGAGTGCCTGTAGCCTCACCAGTACTGCTACTATCTGTGACTGTGGCGACCACCATTCAATGTCTCGTCCTCCTCAAACCGTCCGTACCCCAACTCTCTCTCTCTCTCATGTCTCTTTTTATCTGTCTTTTCTTAGTCTTTTTTCTTTGTCAGCTTTCCTGGTGGGTACTATGTCACAGTATGTGCTTTTCAAGTAAATAAAAAAATAAAATTAAAACAAAAGTGCTCGTTATTTTTACGTCACCGGAAGTAGCAGTAGCTCGCCAAGTACTACTACAGTCTACAGTCCATTCACTATACCGGTAAGTGCATGTACATGTACAGTACAGTACATGTCCCGGTGACCATGGTGACCGGTGCTCTTCATTTACTTATTTCAGGTACTGTATAGCAGGAAATTTTCGGACGGAAATATTTTCGGACAAAGCCGAGTTTCGACATTTCGTACGGATTTTATTTTCGTACAGTGGTGCATGCTAAATGCACTTGTTTGCTTGCGATACGCATGTATAGTGTACATAACTTCACAGGAACAAATTTTAGTACGGAATTAATTTTAGTACAAAAGAGGGCGTGTACGAAATCGTACGAAAATAAATTCCGTCCGAAAATTTCCTGTACAGTAAGTTCGAGTTCTGCTCTGTGTCCAGAACAAAAACGCTACGGTAGGTAGGGATAAAGACAAGAGCAGCTCCTTTTCTATTTCCCTTTCTCCTCTTCGTGTCGCCATCCCCATTTATATCCGCACAGCTGTCATGTCCTAAGAATAATGATTATCATGATTGGAATTGTTGGATTCAGACGGAAGCTGTTACTGCAGTTCAGTCAATCTCAACGGCCAACGCCGACGAAGCGGAAATCCACATCCGCTTCGGAACTCAGCACGACTTGGATTCTTGGAAGCATTTCTCATGCGAATGCCTTGAAATGGGCCAGTCCCTGCATCTTCGCCCTTCGCATGCAGGAAGTGCCGTGGGGACCGGGAATGCAGTGAGGAAACCTTTTCGCGTTGAAGACGAAGTGGGACCGAGTCGGGTGTGCGCAAAGTGACGCAAACCCAAAGAAGGCGAGCAGAATGTCGAGGCCACTGCGGTCCTGCCGTAAGGCGCATTCCACCGTCTCCATAGCTTCCCCGTTTTTCGTATAACGACGAATAACAAGATGTTGCTTACTTCATGTGAAGTTGTTTCGTACGTGGTTCCTGAAGAAAGGGTAAGCAATGGCGTGCCTAACGAGTAAGTTACAAATTGGCTTGTTCATGCAATGGCAGTGTGGCAGTGTTCGCTTCAAGCCCGTCAAGAAAATATTTTCTACCGGCCTCAGGCCCTGTATATTTGATATATCTGACGGTTTAAGCTCACACGTTCGGTGCTGATCTTCCTATGGAGTTTACTAGCTAACGTCTAGTCTACAGTCATACAATCATTATTTCATATTCTGAAAACCTGGCGGAGCTGCGAGGAAAACACTATTATTTTTAGCTCAGAAGTTCGAACCGTGTTCAGAAGGGTGTTGAAGAGGTACAGTACAATGTCGGAGATACTGTAGCCTGTTCCTCACAATGCATGGAAGGTCTCTTCTGCCAGTGGCATCCGGGATCGAATGGAAATCGAAAGCAGTTTGGGTACTGCACTTGCCTGCGACCCGAGAGGTCGCGGGTTCGATCCCCGCAGTCGCACATCTGACTGCTAAATCCCCACGATGCAGCTCACCAGATCAAGGTGTGGGTCCTCTCTTGACTCAGTTAAGTCAAGTCGAGCGAGCTGCAACTCCCGGTGCCAGAAGACGGGCTCACACCCCTACATGGTTGAAAGCAGAGAACAGGAGGAAAGAAGTGCAAAATTTCAAGCATATGCAGCTGTTGCTGCTTTCATTGACTGCAAGTATAGAGAAAGAAGGCTGTGTTGTAAGTAGGAATTTTGAATTAATTCGCGCAGCATGGTGAGCGTGAATCAACGTGAAACTTTGAACTGCGGCGCAGCTTTTTCTCCCTCTACAGTGTCTGCTCTAGGATTGTAGGACAGCCAGGTACACGTGTACCTGGCGCAACCATTTCAACCGGGTCGGAGCCGGGTACACATGTACCTGGCGCTGTCTCACCAGCCGAGTCACATGCTTTAACTGGTTGGTTGGTAAATTTTAATTCGGACAATAAACGGGAACTAGGCCCAATGATAGATAAGCCGCATTTAGAAAAGAGAGGACAGGAATTAGAAAATTACGAAAGAAGTACTGGAGTCTGACACATACAAGCCATGTAGTCAGTCCTTTCAAAGTTCGAAAGTGTAAAGTACCAACCGGGTCACAGGTGACCCGGTACTATATTTTCAACCGGGTTCAAGCGCCGCCCAACCGGGTGGATTACCCGGCTCACCCGGCGCTGGAGCAGACACTGCTCTATTGTTTTTCTATGGATGCAGTGAATGGGATTTTCGGTCTTTGACCACTTGCTGGTGAGCTGATCTACTCACCTCCCACCGCTTTAGGAGCTGCATCTGCGCCTTGATCCTTGAAGGGTGGTGGCGTTCCTACGGATGCGGAAAACCCGGCTTCCAGCCGAGTCTCACGCGAACCGTGAATTTTTTTTAAAATTGTTTTATTGTAAGTTACAAACCTGTACTGAGGTTGCTGTGAATATGGTTAATGTTGATCTTGCCTAGGACTTACGGTGGACCAGCGTACAAGCCAAACATGACAATCAACACCTGGGAGAACGGACTGAGAGACGCGCTGGTCTCCACTGACAGGATTGGTGACCCGATCGAATACGCCATCACGCCGTACGCCATGCCTGAGCTGCCAGCACCCACAGTCATGGAAGTGAGTGTGATTTCAAGTACCTACACCATGCATGTTGACTTACCGTAAACCGGGAAACACTTTACGATCCTAAATCATGATTTTCGCAATGCATGGATGTGAAATCAAAAAGTAAGCCGGTGCAGAATTAGAACTGGAGTAACAACTAATGAAATTGCGAGTTTGTCTGTGCTCGCAAACTTCGAACCAAACCTGGCACAAAGGTGTCACAGTTAAGAGCAGGCCTCAGTGATTTCCAGAATACGTGCCCTACCTCCGTACCTTTCTTCAATAAACAGACCGATGATGAAAAGAGGATGGGGTACGATGGACAATTGACTGTGATCTTTCACTCATGTAAACACAAGAGACATGAGGACGAGGATGCTACCTAGAATTGAGTACGACTTATAGCTCAAGTCACACACTGAAACTATACATCAGAAACCTCAACAAAGTGATGATGTAACTTACAATTGGATGCGACTAATGATCGAGGAAATACGGCATATGGCACAGAGTTCAGTTTATCACAATTAGCGGACGAGCACCGCGCTCATCGAGGCCTCCCATATCCGTACACATCTCTCAACCTGGCAGCCTGCAGGCAGTTACCTCACAGTATTATTCCCTTTCATGGTGGTCAGCCGAGCAATTACACCGTCTAACGCTCAAATCCTTTTCAGTGTATGCTTATGAATTGCGTCAATTCTGGTTCAGCGAGCCTACTTGAACATGATGCTGTAATATACACGAGAGAGATTGGAAGCTTTGTCACAACTCTGAGTTTCACGCATCACTACGATCATCAGGGTATTGAGCACTGTTCGCACAGTGAAGCACACCACTTGACTATGTAATGCTGTATTATACACAAGAGAGATTGGAAGCTTTGTCACAACTCTGAGTTTCACGTATTACCAATGCTGTATTATATCTATTTTTAGTTCCAGTGCCCCTCCCTGTTAATGGCGAATCGTATACACTGGCACCCTTCGGTCCCAAGGAGATCAGATAAGAAAGGTTTCACTGTACTTGTGCTTGCCTCTTGCTTTGCTATTGAGAGCGTATACGTGTCTACCTGGTGCACTCTTTCCCCATCCCCTGGATAGTGGACAAGTGCCTTTGTTGTAGGTGGGCATGGCAGTTAAAAATACTGTGATTGGTTTCCACTCTCCTAGAGAATCTTAGATGTTGTTCCAAATCCAGCATAAAAGTGCCGTGGCTAGGGGAACGCCCCTGGAGAACCAAGTCATAGTGGCGGTGGTGAGTTTCTGCTGTTGCTCCACTTGTTCTATCCATGCTGCAGATATCCGACAGAGTGGCACAGGTTTCGCAGAACTATGTCATGTTCAACACCCATCCAGGCTGTACCGACGTCACGTCCCCCTTCTTCGACTACAGAGTGAGTCTGCCTGATGCCATGCATTTCATGGTATGCTCTTTTTTGTGTGCATGTATTGAGACCTGTGTTTACGGACCACCCCATCGTGCAAAAGCCCATCTTTGTATGAGGACAGAATAATCATCGGGGCCGGGGGGGGGGGGGGGAGGGGGTCGCATGGGACTCAGCTAGACTGAGCTTTTGCATGCGCAGCAAGGCCACCACCCTCAAGGATCAAGGCACAGATGCAGCTCCTAAGCATTGCGAGGTGAGTAGATTTGACTCATCAGCAAAGTCATCGAAGACCGAAAATCGCATTAACTGCATCCGGATTAGGACAATATTGCTATTATAACTAGCTTGAAGCGCACATTCCTGTTCTTCGGCGTCCAAAGGTACTGTAGTGTTTTTGGTCTACTGTATCCGGTCACACAGTTGAGTATTAGGTACGTAAGCCTCTGCGATGTCTTGCCTGTAGATTTTCACAGCAATAAGAAGTTCAGCCCTTCGATATTCCTCATGGTCCGTCACTGTTATCCTCCGTCGCAGGCCAACATTGAAGATGGAACTCTGTGCAAAGGAGCGCCAAACCAATACCTTTTCGGCGGCGTGTTTCAGACATGTGAAGTCGACAATCCCAGCAAGATCAGCCTGTGTGATGAGCTGAGACAAGAAAATCCGCTCACAGGTACACGGTCACGTAGGTCCATGTTGTAAAGCAAGAATTTTGGGAATGGTCTAACTTTACTTATCTCAGCCAAATGACTGTCATCTGTGTTAACTAGTTTCCTTAGCTGAGAATATGTATTGTAGATCTTTCAAGTAGGTCAGCGCTCATTTCTGCACCTTTCGAGCTGGGCCAGGGATCTGCGAAAGCATCTGTTCAATCTGATAGAGGGACGGTAGTCCAGAAATGCATATCTTGGGAGGATGCTGGTAAAGCAACGGTAATCTCACTTGTTTTCATGCTGCTCGCCATGAGACTCTGGTCACTAAAGGTTGTCTTGGCAAATATAGAATAATTATGGATTTAGGGTAATCGCTTTCCAACTAAAGGTGCTTGCTTTATAGCTGCCGGGAATGAATGCTTTACATGGACGGCACTTGAGCAGACTATGTTGTCACATGAAGAGTTTGCATTGGAAATACCGCATACCCATGTTGTCACTCATCGGGTAATGGTCAAAAATGGATTCTTTTGATGTGTGCTATGTGATATCCATATCTGGGTAGTGATTCAGAAGTGGTTCTAAACGGATTTGGATGTGAAATGTTTCCATGAAATAATGAGAATTGATGGTAACATTGAGCAAGATAGTCGAAATTTGGTGCTCTTCACATTTTGTATCCAAATATTTGCGTGAATGTAGGTGCTGGGGGCATATATTGATACTTTGAGATAAAAGTGCCGCTGAGCAAGACAGTTTTGGACTAGCCCTGGAGTAGAATTGAACGGCTGGAATAGAATTCTAGGGCTGGTCCGAGTCTGTCCTGCTGAACATCACTTCAAGCTCTATTACCCTTGGCTGGTCGGGTTCCGAATTCTCTTCCATCAGCTCATTCAAATCACACGCCAAAATGTTGAGAAGGCATTTAGTGACGTGCTGCACAGTGAACTTCAAACGCTTGTGAATTGGCTAGTGTTGAACAAAGTGGAGGACCAGACCTAGAAATACTGGGCTGTACATGTACATTGTTGCCAAGTAGTAACTCATAACGGTAAACGCTCAAATTATTATACCGTATTTTCCGGAGTATAAGAAACACTTTAAACACCCATTTTACCCAAAACAAAGTCAGTGCGGCATATACTATGATGGTCGAATCAACGACGGTGACTAGGGTAGATGTCTGTATTTCGTGACAAAAAACCGGGGTGCGGTTTTTACTCCAGTGCGGCGTATGCTCCGGAAAATGCGGAACTCTTGTGCTGTGCTTGTTTCCCATGTTGCCAAGGTAACTACTCATGCCCACAGGACTTTGAGCAGGTACCGCTGTATACTGGCGGACAAACGTACAACTGGCATGAGCCAACGTGCAGACGGCAAACGTACAAGTGCGGCATGTGGAAGAAGAAGTGTCATCGTCAGGTAACGCTAAGACGTGCACACGATGTAATGAAAAATGGATATACATGTAATAAAAATCTCATGGTTCGCTTGAGACTCGGGGTTCACCCTGCCGCTAGGGTTTACCGGGTGTTAGCGGCCGTCGTCAGTTCCCTTCGAGGAACGGACACGATAATTTACTTTTCTTTTTGACACTAAGTTAGACTGCGTTTTCAGCATCCGTAGGAACGCTGCTGCCATCCTGTTACTATGTGTACATGGTATAATATAAAAAGTGGAATATCCTGGAGACTCCTAAGCAGGCAGTCAGGCTCTTCTTGAAATACTAGAATATAGTTTTACATACAAATGTTTCCTTCACCTCTGGTTGTCCCATGCACCGAAGAATGGTCTTGGATGAAGGAGCAGCAATGCTCAACCCCAAAATATTAGGACATTCCTGCAAATTGGATTTGCAACGATTTGTTCTCGTTTGTTCTGTTGCTGCCGCTGCTCTTGCTGCTTCTGTTGTTGTTGTTGTTGCTGCTGCTGCTGCTGAAGCCGCTGCTGCTTCTGTTATTGCTGTCATCGTTATTGTTGCTATGACTGGATGGTAGTGCTTGTCTTGTTTATTGTTGTAAGTGCAGCTGGAGTTGATGTTCCTTTCCTGCATGTTGTGTGTGTGTGTATGTGTGTGTGTATGTGTATGCGTGCATGTGTGCGTGCATGTGTGCGTGTGTGTGTGTGTGTGTGTGTGTGTGTGTGCGCGCACGCATGTGTGTGTATTTGTGTATGTGTGTGTGTTCCATGTGTGCATGTGTGTATGTGCTTTTGACCTCAAGATATGCCGTGCAGAGTACTTTGGAGCTACGGCCACTTTCACCATGCACTGGTGCATGGCTTTAACAGTGACATCTGGACCGATCAAAAAGGGCTACCTGTTTGGTGGCATTTATGCCGCACGAAGTCCCAATCATGTGACTCAAACCAGGGACTGTCCGAAGCATTACTATCCGCTGAAGATGGGCAGCGATATAAGCGTCTGCGTCTGTAGCGATTATGATGTGGGAAGAAGCGCCAGTGTGCCATTCGCGGGTAAGTTAACCTGCTATTTTGGTTAAACGGTTCGCAATCGCCATCACGCTAACCTTGCATCTGTTATCATCTCTGTTCTGCTGTACGTACTTTTCAGGCTTCTTCAGTTGCAAGACGGGCAATCCGCTTACGTTGCTAAGTAGTAGCCGGACAGCTTCTAGCCTTGACGAGGTTTGTACAAAGCACCTATCTGTGGCTATCTGAACATGCATACACATACCTCAAGCACTAGCTGTGCCCCGTTCTAGTTCTCGGGCAGCATAGTGACTTGAACCGGAATTTCGCTTTTCCCAGCAGTCTGTAGCCAGCTGCATACGACACAGTGTATGTATGCAGCTGTTTCATCGTCATCACCTTGCTCTCTGGTGCTGCCCTGGGAAGTTGTAGGACGAAGCTTGCAGGCTACAAACTCTAGTCCTTGATTGGGCCGTCATAAAACCTGAAAATTTGTTCAATACTGCTGGCAAAGTCTTTCTAACGACAGTATTATGGTGAAAAACGTTTTTCACCATAATTTAATTGACTCACCATCCGAGTTAAACGACAGTATTCTTGTTTTTAAGAACTTTGAAACTCCACTGTAGCCTTGTCATATTTTCAGTACACCCAACTCGCAACACACAAACAGTCCTTGGCTACACTACGTACAGTTGAAATTGTCCAAATTTTCACCCAGGAGGGCAACATCAGGGATATAGGAGAAGAATGATATAAAGTTGGCTGATACAGGGACAGTCACATAATTCACACTACTACATGTAATCTGCAACAAGTTACAAGCTAGCAATAAGACATAACAATGTAAGTGAGTATTTCATCAATTGCAAAGACAGTGGGCGTGAGACAGCCATGATTGAGTTGATAAATGTGTGTGTGTGTGGGGGGGGGGGATATGAGTGTGTGTGTATGTGTGTGAGAGAGAGGGGGGGGGGGGTAGGAGTCCAGTATGGAGTGTATTAATCTTCTCAAGTTCTCAAGTCAGGTGTGGCTATCCATTCGAGGTGTCGAATCTGAGATCCCGCGCTCGTTGTGAGAACAACAAGGTGTGGGACGCTCAGCGTGTAGATCAGCCATGGGCCGGGAAGTTTGATTTATGCCGATAGGTGCCAGCCCTTGTCACTGTTCACCTTTGGTCTTCGATTTCCGATCTCTGTCGCCTCAAGGTATTTGCGTGATGGAAGAGAATGCTCCCTGCCGAGAATCTTCGCCTGTTGGAAGGGCTGAAAGTGTGAAGATGATGTGTGAGATTCTCGGTGGCGGGTTTTGTAGTGGTTGCCCCAGGGAGTTTTCTCCGCCATTGTCCGCGCTTCCCGGTAGTTCACCTGAAACCGCTCTGCCATTTGCCACTCGGTTTCCCCGTCGTACAGCTTTTGACAAAGTGTGCACAGCATACTGTAGACAACATGCTTCACCACACATTCACGATCAGACATACCCGCATCACATGCTCTACATACCATCGGTGCACCACGACCACACTTCACCTTCGCTCTCTGCACCTCACAGGGACGTACACAGGCAGACAATGATCACCGAACAAGTTTTCTCTTCAGTGACAGACCAGATGTGAACGCAATGCGAACATCAGGACTGAACCGGCGCACACGTCGAGAAACCCGAGCGCACAGTGCTTGGTTGATAATCGACAGCTTCAGGATGACTTGGTCCGGTTTCTTCCACTGGCGGGGTGTGGCATTTGCGAAGCGGGCAGCATTCTTGATGGCGCGGTTTATTTCGTTCTCCTGGTAATCATTTGCCTTCAGCAGTGCAGAGATCTTCCCAATCCCGGCTTGCCTTCCCTTTTCCGTTGATGCGTTCCTCATAGCACTCATAGCTCGACGAACAAGTATTCCGCTTCGTCCTTCTTGACAGTTGTGTTCAGTAGTACGTCTATGTTGTCAAGCAACCGTGCTGTACTGGCCTTCTTCCTCTGGAGAATATCCTTCAAGTCTTCCATTCTTCGACTTCCTCTTACAGCTAGCAAACTGGTTCTTAGCTACTGCGCGCTTGGAGGCCGTCGCCACTGCTGAGTAATACGACAAATGTACTCCACTGTGGTATGGCTTGATGAAAAGCTCCCATTGAAGGTGACACTGAGCACTGATGGAAATAGTTAGGTCAAGGTAGTCGACACTGCGTGTGGCGTCGTCTGAGTGATTGACTGTGAAGCGAATGAATGGATGTTGACTGTTCATATGCTCGTCAAAACGCTCCAACGCTTACCAGCCATGGCGCCATAGGATTAGAATGTTCTCTATGTACATGCAGGGTCGATTCCCATGCAGTGCCAATGCAGACTCTTCCAATGATGCCATGCTTATAATGGCTAATGGCGGCGCAAGATGGTTTCCCATTGCGATACTCTTTAGCTGGCAGTACTGTTGGCTTCCAAATTCGAACACGGTGTTCATAGTGAGCACGAATTGTAGGGCTTGCCTCACATCGTACACACCGAGGCCGACCATGTCGATGCTGTCCCGGTGCTTGTCCAGTAGGGACACGGCCGCATCAGCTACTGGGATATTACTGTACAGTCCCACAACGTCTACGGACACAAGAAGGTGGTCGCTCTGCAGCTGTCCATGTTTCCTTAGTTCACTGATGCAGTGGTCAGTCAAGGGGAGTTGCGATGGGACGAAGCTCAGCAATTGGTTTAAGATTCGCTCAATGAAGAGCGACACCTTGCTTGCAGGGCCGTCACAGCAGCTGACGACAGCCCGTACAGGTAGACCATGGTTATAATCTTTGGGGAGGTCGTGAAATTGTGGCATCCTGCTTTGGCTTGGCTGAACTGACTTGAACAGCGATTTTGGTCGTTTGTCCTCGATGTTGTCTTTCAGGAAGGCTTTGGTCTCCATGTCCTATACCTCAGCCTTGGCCTCCAGCCTTTCGTAGTGACTAGAATCTCCCAGCAGTTGGTTACATTTGTCTACGTAGTTGGATTTAGATAATACAAGAAAGCCTTTGCTCTTGTCTGAAGGCTTGATGATGACGTCGTCATCCACTTGCAATTGTTGTAAATGCAGCTGTTCTTCTCTGCTCGTCCGGATATTGATATCCTTGCGCTCCACGGATCTATCCTTTTGGAGAAGATTAGCACACTCCATACTTGACTCCCCCTCTCTCACACACACATACCCCCCCCCCCCCCACACACACATCAACTCAATCATGGCTGTCTCACGCTCGCTCGCCTAAGTTGCACTTGATGGAATACTCACTTACATTGTCCCTGTACTTATCAGCCAACTTTGTATCATTCTTCTCCTATATCCCTGATGATGCCCTCCTGGGTGATAATTTGGACGATTTACTGTACGCAGTGTAGCCAAGGACTGTTTGTGTGTTGCGAGTTGGGTGTACTGAAAATATTCTTGTTCCAGGAAATATCATGGACAACAGAACTACATGTTTGTCTGGTTTACAGCCAGGTTTTAGTTATACGTAACCAGGGCACCTTTTTCACAAGTTTATGAACATGTTAGTATTGGCCGTCACGAATATGAAACCTGTGCTCTGATGTTGAATTCAGCCAAAAAGTAGGCTTTTAGAATCACTAGTTGTATGCCTATTGCGGACTGAAGTCAAAGTAAGGGAATTCATGGCAATGGTCTGCGCCGGTGAATGGAAGAGGTTGGATATGAAAAGAATCCCGAGCAGCGATTACCAGTCACCGTACATTGCAAATTAGATAGAAAAGGCACCACTTGATGGCATGTTTCATGGAAATGTGTGTGTGTGTGTGTGGGGGGGGGGGAGGCATGTTACAACCTTTTCTTGGCTCGCCATCTGAGTACTTATGCTTCAGCGTGCAGATTTCTTCACGTTCTATTTTCTATGCTTTGGTGCATGTCACCTGGATGCTCTACTGCATACAGCTGGGTTTCGACAACCTGAGTGGGCCCAGCAGCTGGCCACGATTCTGCCCAGTCGGCTACGCACAGTACCTTGCCAGCGTGGACGGCACATGTCAGATAATGTACTGCACCCGGTTTCAGCCGGCGAGTCATGGCCGACTGCTCCTCCACCGGCCGCCCTACGGCAAACCCTACCCGATGCCGGGTAATGGCACCCTGGACACCACGTCCATTGTGTCTCCGGGTGGGCAGAGCTGGCACAAGAACACTACGACGGGAGCTTGGAAGATGGTAAGGAAGCAATGTGTCTGTGTCTGCAAGAGCTGGATAGTGTTTTGTAGCATTCTTGTGAACAGTGATGCTAATTTTACTTGTGTGTCTGTACTCAACGAAAAAAACAGTCGGTGCCAAAGCGCACACATGATGACTGCATGTACTCCTGCTCTCTCTTACACTGCTCTACAGGACCGTATGGATATGATAGTACAGAGTGCTTCAGACATTCCAGGGTAAGTCTCTTCCCACCCTACAGTCCATCCATAAAAAGATGGACCCTGGCTCTGGCAAGCTCCCGTATTTGGCGATTTTTCGTGATTTTACCGTACACAGTGCAGTGCTGCAAAATTCGAAATCGGAAAACGGTCCGAAAAGGGTACCCGAACTGGGGTTCGAACCACACAGTGCACTGTTGCGGGCGGGGTCAAACGGCCTGGATTTTGATGGTTTTTCTCAAAGCAGTGCTTTTGGGGCAAAACCTGGCCGAAATCCTATTCTTGTTGGGGCTTGCTTTTTGGAGAGATAGACTTCAGAAACATAATTGGAAGAGGATTCCAAAGGGTATTACAGAAAAAAATTCTAAAAAAACTCAACGTTCATGGCCAAAAGCTAGAAGTCCATCTTTTTCTGAATGGACTGTAATCTCACCATGAGAGTACATGATGATACGTATGAGACGGGCTGTCGGTGTTTCATGCTATACTAGCCATTGTAATAATCTTTCTTCCTTGGGTCATTGTAGACTGGGAACAATGCCGTGCTGTTTACCAACAAATTCTGATGTGGGAATATGCGTAAAACTGGATGTGCATCGAAGCCATATACACCTGAACAAACGACAACAGTGTGCGTTTGCGTGACCGAGCGTGTACTCGTATGCATGTGTGTGTGTGTGTGTGTGTGTGTGTGAGTGAGTGTGTGAGTGAGTGTGTGAGTGAGTGTGTGTGTGTGTGTGTGTGTGTGCACGTGTGTGTGTGTTTGTTTTCTATCGTGAATGCATCTGGTTGAATGCACTTGATAGCTCTGCATATCACCAATAACATTCTACCGTATTATCTCTAATATAAGCACAGTCTCCAATAATAGCACGTCTCCAATAATAGAACACCTTGGGGCGGCATTCAAAAAATAAAGTGCTCAGTCTCCATTATAAGCACACTGTGTAAATTTATTATCTGTACCGGCGAAAAAACCCTGAAATGTGTGTGTGTCTGACATGAATTTGGCATGGCAACATGCCTCTGAAATGAGGTTGAAATAATAATGGAACAGTCTCCAATAAAGGAGCGTCTCCATTAATAGCACGGGGCGGAGGTACATTGAAAAAATAAAGGACCGTGCTTATATTAAAGATAATACGGTACTTTACATTTTGTTTTGTTTTTGCCTTGTCCTTGCCAGTCTCAGCGAGGAGCAAGCGTACATGGTGTATGCAGCAGCCTGTGCTGTGGCTATTGTCACTCTTCTTGGCATCATCATTGCCTGCTGCAAACGCCGGAGAAAACGTCAGAAAGCGCTCAATTCACCGAAGGCACCTTGCTCGCCACCGACTAGTAACTTTGCATTGCTGCACCCACGGCGGGCTTTCGGAGATGGCAAGACCAGTATGGCGACCTCACTAGGTACCAGGCCGGGAAGGATTCTGTCGGAGGATACGCTCTATGCGGCCGATACTGGTGAATATGCCACTGCTTCTGCTGCTGGTGGCGGTGGTGGCGCTTCCCCGATGCTATGGTATCAGGAATATCACCCAAGGAGTGCTGGCGAGACAGTTGTCACTCGCAGGAACAAGCCGGACTGGACAGGTGAACAAGACTACGGTGATGAAAGCGACCCGCGAGGCTTCGGGCATGCAACGACCGGCACGGCTAGCCCGCTCGGTGCCATGCCAGGCGACATTCTGCCCGAGGACTCTGCTGGTGACTATGCCACTCCTGCTGGCTCTTCCCCGATGTTACGGGACGAGTATCACTCAGCAAGCACCGGTGATACTGCTATGACTCGCAGAAGCAAGCAGGACCACGCAGATGAAGAAGACAATGGCCAGTGTACAGGGAAGGAAACGAAAATTTGACGCAACCAGCAAATCTTCACAATGATTGCATGTGCCCTTGAACCTTCCCCACCCCTCATGATAAATACAATCATGAGAACTATAATTATGGTATGCATTTCTTTTTTCCATTTTATCATGCAATTGCGAGTGTAGTTATTCCAGGTTTCTTACTAGCCACCACACCACAACCATGAGGGCTGCTGCTTACCCCATTATTTAGTTATTCTAGGTGGCGAATTTAGTCACTCCATAAAAGTAATAATTATTGTTGGCCTAGGGTTGTTGGCCATGTTCAGAATTACGAGATGAGTGGCTACTATTAGATGATCTGTTTTGCGGCGCAAAGTTCAACTGCTTACATTCTAAATTTTGCTCTTCCATGTGCAGACCGAAAACACACCACAGGAACATACTTCCAGTACGCATCCTCCCCCCAGGTCCGGGAGATCAATTTGTTCTATTACATACCAATATGGGGCTGTGATTGTGAGGAAGTATTTAAGTTCTGTCAGTGCAAAAGACACTTGCCACTCTCAGTCAGCATGCTGGGTACACTTCTTTCTCTCTGCAATATGCCAAGCAAACTGGAATGACTGCCGCACGCTGTGTTTGCTACTGCGTCCAATCTTTTAAAGGTCCATGTATACGTCGTGTGGTGTTTCCTGTGGATGGCTAGTGTTAATTAAATTATGTCAGTCAATTTGAACTTGA